TCTTACATAACATCTTTACTTTGCTGACCAATTAAGTTTTGCACCAAAATCATGCCGTCTTGTAAAAAGTCCCATTTCATTTATGGACATTTTCCTGACATTTCTATTATTAGCGGCGCGACTGCAGATGGATGTAATGCTGGCGAGCCTTCCAAAAGTCTTGTGCAGATGGTCAGTTTAGTTGCGTGTGACTCATCTAGTCAGCTGAGCCAAAACAGCACAGCGCTTCGCAGAACTCGTCCCCTAAAATCGCCTGCCAGCTACAGCTGGAGGGCCTCCAGAAGCTCGCGGCCGAGTCGCAGCATTTGAACATGTTGTACCTGCCAACACGCTCTCCGGATGTCAAGCCCTTCATTCATTATTAGAGAGAAAGAGAGAGCGCTACATCAGCTTTGTCTAATAACTGTACGCATGTCGCCAGCTCTTTATTATCTCATTCGCGGCTCTGTTTAGATCGCAATACCAACGTGCATGCCCATTTCTGTATTCATAAAACAAGCAAGAGCACTGCCTAGACTGCATTAGAGCATTAGTGCTGTCTAAAGTCTGAATCCTTATTATCATCCTTCTTTGCTTGATAAAGGGCTAATTATTGTCTAACCTTCACGTACCTGCTTCAGGACTTGCGTCTTCTGTGTGACAACTCTACATCCAGTGTGTGTGTGTGTTTGGATTTTGCCACTAAATTAGTTTTATTAGTGTTCTACCTGTCCAAACCAAATAAAAGAGCGTCTGACAAAAACACGTGTCAGTGCCCTCAGAGCAGTGATCTTAAATAGCTGCGCGGTGCTTGACATACTCTTTTTTTCTTGTTGTTTTTTGCCTGGATTTTGTCTGTCAAGCTGTCATAGCTTATTTGTGAAGGTTGAGGTGGCTTGCAGGTGTACTTGTAAACAACAACAATAGCACATTCTACACGCATGTTTAGGGTGTGAGGGATTTAGAAGCACCAAGTAGCCCAACAAGCCATTTAATCCCCCCTGACACACACATAAAGACCCCAGTCCTTCACTGGGCAGCTACTTCAGTACTGCTGGTTTGATTTGAAATGCCTCCTTTGCATCCTCCCACTCTTTATTTTGCGCATTCTCAATGTGTTGCTGCTCGTGACGCATCAGGATTTCACAAGATTTCCATCATCACGTGAAAATGATAAGCAGCAGACGACTCATCTATCAGACATCCTTTCCAGCTAATACTGGTATTAAAAACAACCCACAGTTCTGCACATATGTCACACTCTCTGTCTGTCCTCTCTGTGTGCCTCTTAGAGGTGGGCCGATCGATCCAGATATCGATAGTATTGATACTGACGCTGGTATCGGTCTCAGATCGATACTAGCGTGATGAGATGGATTCTTTGTTTCTGTCCTCCAAGTTCACTCTGTAGCCTGCTGATTTATGTTAAACTAATTTTTTGGGAAATCAAAAAATATACCTCAAACATGCACTATGAAAAATGTGTTGACTGTCACATTTATTTTATTTATAGCCTATAGCACATTTAAACAACAGAAGTTGAGCCAAAGTGCCGTAGAGACGCCCACATTTATATTCCAGATCCCCAAAACCCCAGACACGAAAAGCTGATGTAGCTGAAAGATGTGTTTTTTTTGTGTAAAGTAATTGTGGAAAAAAAATCACAGTGATTCAGTGTCCATTAAAATTAGATCAAATTTTGAAAATCAGTGATGATTCATCACATAAGTCATACCACACTGCTCTACCCTACATGAACTGCCTTGATAGAGTAAAAGTACCGGTATTGTATCGGCAGTACTGTTTACTTGGTATCGGACTGATACCGAAATCTGCAGTATCGCGCAGCACTAGTGCCTCTGTTTTCAGGAGGGGGGGAAGGGAGCCGTGCGATCAGTATTGATCTCAGAAAGCTCCCAGGCAAATTTATCTGTATTATATCTGTGATGTGTTAGCGTGAGTGCAGGCTTGGCCTCAAAAAGGAGGTTTGTGGGCCGTTTGGCAGGTTTCAAAAACGGAGAATAAACAGAGTTCCCCTGTTGAGTTTTGACTCACATAACATATCTACATTCAGTCAGCTGAGTTCAGTGGTAATTAGTCAATCTGGTCTCTCACACACACACACACACACACACACACACACGCACACAGGTAGAGATGTTTAAACACACTGGAAGCAAATTTAAATGACATATCACACTAACAGCATCAGCTGACACACAGTTTACATCACACCTACTGACAGTAGGTCATGTGACACTGCTTTGTTGTTGGTGTACTGCTGCAGCTGTTGACTGGGAGCCAAAGCAATATTTTTTTGTGTGTATTACACTTCTCTTCTCTCTTTCTGTTCCTTGTTTCTTTTCTATTTGATTTAAATATAAAGTGAGTATTTTAGGAGGCAACGCAGTACAAAAATAATTCCACATGAAGATGTAAAAACAACACAGCATATGAACGTGTTCCTGTAAAATATGCCCCAGTTTGTTTGTTGAGCAACACAGAAGTGTTTGAAAATGCTGCCCTCGTGTGTCTGTTATCAGAAATGCACCTTTGTGATGTCCTGAAACGTGTTTTATGTTTCAGGTTATGGACACACTTTCTAAACTCTCCCACACTGTGATTGTACAACAGACTGGAATCAGGTATGTGGAAGTGAAATGTTTTAATACAAAACAATGCATTTCTTTCACTGCATCTTGTGATCTTAGTAGTGAACAATAAAATCTAATGTAATGGATGCATTATACTGCCACTGGAAGCTTGTGAGGTATTTTAATCCTAAAACACGGACTGCTTTCTCCTCTCAGGCCCTTTCCAACAGAGGACAGTGTTGAAGATGAGGACATCTACAACCACCTGGAAGACCTCATAGAGTATGCTCTCCACCCTTTTGTTTCCAGCCATATCCTTAAGAACATTTTAAGATGGATTTCTAATACACATGTTACATTTTAAAAAGTCAGCAACCTTGTGAGTCTTTATGTGCACATGTGTGTGTCATTATGGCACGCTGAGTAAATGTAAAATGAGCATACTCCAACAAAAAGGGGTTTTTGAGCTCTTTTGCAGATGTTTACACGTCTTTCCGGATGTGTGCAGACAGCTTTTGTCAGCATAGCTGCACAAGATGCAGTCATTAAACCTTTCACATGTCAAGATGCAGTCTGGGGTCTGACAGCTCACCGCTGTGATCCCATTGCACCGCAGTCTCTCTACTTTAGTGTTCGGCTTCCTCTTAAAACTCTCCACGCCTGTGAGGATAAAGCTGCCATTTGTTCCCTGGGTGTTGTTTGGAAGGCAGCCATTTTCAGCATCAACTCGCCCTGCTCTTTTCCTTAGTTAGCCACAAGTGGGGTGTGTGGGACTGTGAATTAATCATTTGTTGTTCAAGCCCTGCTCTGCAGACACCTGTTAGCTTAGCAGATTTAAATGACAGATTTTTCTGTCTAAAAATACCCTTTAAAGTTCATAGAGAGGGTGTTAGCTATACTGCGTGCAACCAATGTAGGTCGGTCGGTGTTCGATACCAACTAAAACCAACCTTTTTTTCACCTTTGGAAATAAAGCAGGGACAAAATAATAACATGACATAATCCTCCTCCATTGCAGACAGAATGTCTGGCACAGTCTCATTCATAGGCCTTCATCTAAATGCAGCTGTAGGACTATTGACTCTGGTCTATCTGATATGGATTTTTGAATGCATTTTTGTTTAGACTGAATGCGTCAGATGCCAATTCATGGACAGATTTTTTGTCCCTTCTCTGTTTTTCCAGTTCATAGCTCATAACACTGCAGTTTCCTGTCTGTTTCTGATCAGAAATACTGGCACTTGCATGGTAATTGAAGTCAGCAGAGAGACATAATCCTACAGCAGAAATGCTGTTGGAAACCTTTACAGTGACACAGTGGTTTGGCCCGTGTTTAATGCTGACAGCTCCTACAGAAGGAAGCGGCACACTAAGAGTAGTGACAGCAAAACAGTGGCTTGATAGCAGCCAGCACGGGAGGTTTGATGTGTCAGCCTGGATCTCACTGAACTGAGCCACATTCTCCCATCTGCTCAGCGTTTAGCAGCCATATAACGGACACAACAGAAACACGCGCACGCCGTTCCACACAACAAGAGGTTTCATTTCATTTGGGTTTTTTTTAGCCAAGCATACAATGTTGTTGCCCATCTAGAACCAAAATAAAGCTTTATATGTGCAAAGCATTTAGGATTAAGAGCAAATTCTTCTCTCTCACCACTGGAGATTTCATCTGTTCTAATCTGTTTTAATGTGCAAGGCTAACAAAGTGTTTAAATTCACTGCACTAATTTTTGAAGAGATAGTATAAGTTAAAAGTAATAGTTAAGGGCATTATTTCTCTGTATTCTAGATATCTAGTAATGCCCACTAAGTGTAGGCAATATTATTGAAATAAACTAGCTTGAATGTTAGCTATGAAGCTTTATGCTAGGCTGTTAGCTATGAAGCTTTATGCTAGGCTGTTAGCTATCAGTCTTTGTACTAGACTATTAACCAAACCTAGCATAAAAAAATTAGTTGGTTGTTTTACTACTACTTACTACTGTTTCTTAACAAAAGTAACAAAATCCCTCACACAAAAGCTGCTTATAAAACAGGAAGTGCAGTTTAGCATTTACATATTTTGTTTATGGTAAAGATGAATTAAAGTAGATTAGATTATTTCGACCTATATCTTCTTTTTACGATAACGTCAAGCTAAGCTGTCTTTCTCTATCATATTGAGACTATCTCTCCACCAGAGAACCAAGGTTACAACGTAACCTTATGTTCTGTAGCTCCTTTGTTAGCTTACAGAGGCCCACTTTACCCTCAAGTCCTAAATGAATTTTGACACATTGTCTCGTCTCTGTTTGAGTTATTGCCCTTTACTATAAGACATGACAATAATACATTAGACATGACAATAATACATTAGGTGAAGCAGAGCAGCAAACCACAGAGAGAAATATTTTTTTTCCTTTATGGTCCACCACCTATGCTGTAGATCTCTTATCCTTGACCTCACCTCCTGCTCCTTACCCTAATAAAACATGCTAATTGTTTACGTCCAATTATCCCCTTAGGTTTCTTTGAACTTGGGAACATTTGGTTCTAAAATAAATGTATGAAAAGTAAAGAAGACGCACACAAACACTGAGTCACATCATGTTAGCCCACCTGCTAAGGCTGCAGTAATTGGCTCCGATGTGAGCAGTCAGAACAGGCTGGTGGCGTCACACATAAAAGTCTTTTTTTGTCTGTGTGTTCCTCAGCCACTTTCACAGCAAGGGATTAAGTTTTTTCCCCTTCTAACAAGATTTGTAGTGTGGTATTAAAATCCACATCTGTAAAACCAGAACCGTGTGTGCTTGTCAAGAGAAGTGAAAACCATTTCATCCCACTCACTCAGGATCAAACAGCAGCGTGATGTAATGCAGTGTCACTGCCTTATTCTTTCATTTGTCCTGCAGTGAGAATGGAGTGGAGGATGAGGAGGACCTTTATGACTGTGTGTACGATGACGAAGAAGGCGGCGAGATCTATGAGGACCTGATGAAGACAGAAGCTGTCCCTCCTCCGGTTTGTCCACCTCTGTAACTTCACTTGAAAATGTGTTTTTTTGTTCTTGTTGTCAAAGACTGCAAAGAAAGACTGGTGAAAGAAGTGATGCTACCATCATATCTGATGTCTTAGGCCAGGGGTGAGGAACTCCAGGGCTCAAGGGCAGGTTTTAGATATCACCCTGGGTCAACACACCCTAATCAAATGACTAGTTCATTACCAGGCCTCTGGAAAACTTCAAGACATGTTGAGGACGTAGTGTAGCAATTTAAATCAGCTGTGTTGGATCAAGGACTCATCTAAAACCTGCAGGAGACCAGTCCTTGAGGCCTGGAGTTCCCCCACCCCTGTCTTAGGTGATGGGATCAGACATGGATGGCACTTCCCTACTTGTGTCTCCAAGTGTTCAGCTGACCACATCTTATTTTAAGCTCAATAAATCTTTTATGGGCAGTTTCAGGCAAAATGTAATGCAATGTGTGGTTTGTAAAAGCATTGGGGACAGTATGGAAAAATAACACCACATCCTGCACCGATGGCATATTTTTTTGTAGGTTCTTGTTTGGAAACCATTTAAAACATTAGTCATTGCAATAAAAAAGAAATGCTCAGAATGTGGTATCTGTTTGAGAAAATATAGCTTGAGAAATTGAACTTTTTTGAATTCTGAATGGACGTTTGATTATGTGGAGCTGGTCTTCATTGCTTTGTGGTTTCCATGAAACTTGGAATTGAAAATTTACAAAATAAAAATTGGCCTTCTTTTATCTTTCCATCTGAACTATCCTTCAAAAGAGTTCTTCTGAAACTTGGCAAACTTGAACAAAAGCACTGAAAGAAAGTCAGATGAACCTTGGTGCCAAAGCAGATTCTGAATGCCTTTAAAATGCTGTTTAAATTTCAAATATGCACTTTTTTAATTTAAGTGATTATTTATCAATGTATCTATTCAAGTGTATAATGTGTGCGTGTGTGCGTAGGCGTTCCAGAAGCAAGCAGAGACTGACATCAGGAGTTGCTGCTTGACAGAGATCAAGCAGACAGAGGAGAAATACACTGAGACCCTGGAGTCTATAGAGAAGGTACACACTGGCTGACTGGTGGTTGTCATTGTGCAGCCCAGGCTTCCTCACATTGCTACGTGCTGACTGAAATTTTAAGCAGGTAATCTCATCTGCATCCCATGCTGAGTTTGTACGCTGGCGATACTTGGAAACATCGTCTCGTTGAAGTAATCAGAATTATAACTGCCAGTTATTGTGATTTGGTTACATCTCAGAAGTAAAAAAGCGGCCCCCGATCACAGGTTTAGTGTGACATGACTGAATTAGTTTGAAGCTGCGGGCCCTCCAGAGTTCTCTATTAAACCTGCTGAGCGAGTGTGTCTCAGTTAGCTTGAGTGACGAGTACTTACCCACAAAGCTGTTGTGAAAGAACATAGGATGAAGCGCTTTTGGACATCTTTCACTAATATCCAGGTTGCCAGCACTGTTTCATAAATTGGTGTCAGTCTAACTAACTTTATTTCATTAGGTGGAAGTATTATCGCTCTGTTTCACTTTACGAAGGATGACTGGAAATCAATTTGGCCTCTTTATCACCTTCAATATGAGAAACTGTGAAACTGTAATGACCTCTTTTCGGGTGTAATGGAAACAAAAAAAAGCGGTGTAACACTCCGCACACCCAGAGAAAGAAGCGAGGTGAAGGATGTATTTATATTTTTGAAATTAGCCGTGAGTAAAATGTAATCCCAGCACTCCTTCCAACAAACGCCCTAACAGAGAGCTCTGAGAGCAGCCGCTCGCCTGTGGATGTGTTCCACCTTACCCGGCACTTTTTACAGGACTGTCTTGGACTACTTGTCTTCTACCTCTTGTGTACGTTCACGTCTGCTAAAAGACCTCGCCTGATTTCCCAGAGGAGCGCCTCAGTAGATGACTTTCGATATGAAGTGGATGGTGGAATTTAGTTTGTGCTCGCCCGCTCCTTTGAAATGTAGAGGTGACTACACTGTGGGAGTTTTCTGAGAGGAAATCATTAAATTGCAAACTCTGAAAATGAGATTATTGTCGTGACCCAGACGCTCCTGCTTGTTTTCGCTGACTGCAGCTCTTTGCAACTTAGCCCTATAATATAATAGCGTCTCATGCAAAATGACTTTCCCACTCTTACTCTAGAGGAACGAGGCTCTTTCTCTTCATTCATTCCCTCTCTGTGTTTCTCTCCTGCAGCACTTTATGATTCCCCTCAACACGTTCTTGTCCCCAGCTGAGATGGAGAAGGTGTTTGTGAATATTCCGGTAAGTCAACGCCTTTGGAAGCGGTCATCGTTGAAGGGGTTGCAAAATTCTCCTTTAAATGGTCTTTTCCCCCACCGACTGTCACAATAGGAGGAATGTAGAAGTGTAAAATAATGAAAGGAATGATGGCTTAGCTTCACACCTACATGGCAAAATTCAATAAAAAAAAGATTTTAAACCTTTTTTAAATGTGCATTAAATTAACATTACAAAGAGACTACTACTACTATTTAAGAGCCTTAACTGTCCAAAAACAGGTCACTGCTTTGTGTTGCATGCTAACATGCCAACATACTGACATCAAATATGCTGACTGATTGATTTACGTTCACTGTTTGACTGTGAAATGCTAACAGTGACCAGAAAGTAGCAAGAACACCTCAAGATAATAGCAGTGTCTTTAGTTTTTAGGTAGGTTTGCAAAGGCAACATGATATCAGTTTTGCTGCAGGCCTATACAATAAAAAAAAAAAGAAGTTTTTTTTAAACCTCAATAAACATGAAGCATGAAAATTAAATGAAATTAGTTAAAGTCAGAATTTTGGTCAAAGATTCTTATTGTGTGTTGACATATTTGAGGGCGGTACCTCAACATTTAGTGAGCTGTGATGAGCATTTCTAATGATTTTCTTAGTCATAGATCATTAATGGAGTTCTTGGAATGATCTGTAGCTTAGGGGAAAGAAATTGTTAGATGCAGGAGTTTAATGATCAGCACTGAAGATTTGCTCTTGTTGTTGTTCAGGACCTGGTTAAAGTCCACAAGTGTTTACTGCTGGAAATCCAAGATTCAGTCCACCACAGAAGTGCCCAGAACCTTTACCAGATCTTCATCACTTTCAAAGAGAGGTGCACACGGGGAACTTTATCTAAAAACATTGTAGTTTATTGTATTTAGTGTTTTATGTAATCCTTTAACAGTTCTGTAAAGCTCTTATAATTCTTTCTGTACATCCAAGAAGCTGCAAACTTTTATGTATATGCTGTGTTATGACAGGTTTCTGTGTGTTGAGTGTAAACAGTGTGTAGGTGTGAACCTATGTATCGCACCTAAGATCATCACTGTGAAGACTGAGAAAACATTTAAAGTCCTACATGTTGTGATTAGACTTCTTTCCAGTCCTGCTGTAGTTTCTTCACTTGTCAAATCTACCCCAGGTTGTTGATCTATGGGAAATACTGCAGCCATGTGGAGACAGCCATCGCCACCCTCGATGACATCAGCAAAAACAGAGAAGACGTACGCATGAAGCTAGAGGTTAATAGTTTTGTGCTCTTCTTAAAGGATGAGTGAGTGGTTATTGTGCACTGCAGTGGAAGCTGTTTGCTTCCACAGCTTCTCAGGATGGTCAGACTACGCCCTCAAGTGTCTACCTGAGACATTGCCGGTGATGACACTGCAGCTGGAAGCAGAAATTACTCTAAAAAGCTGTGATGCTCGAGTTTGCTTGCATTTACTTCTAGAAAGTAAAATAAAACCATTTTTTCAAAGTGAATTTAGTATTTTATTGATCCTTGTCTTTGTGCAGGAATGCTCAAAAAGAGCCAACTATGGCAAGTTCACGCTGAGAGATCTGCTAGTGGTTCCTATGCAGCGAGTCTTGAAGTACCACCTCCTCCTGCAGGTACCGAACTCCGTCCTAGTGCATCCTCGCTTGTAAATCTCAGCCCAAGTTTTCTTGAACAAACCTTTGAACCCTTTGCAGTAAACATTTATAGTGTTTAAAATATGTTTTATTTTTGTATCACGTAGATGACATCAGGCCCTCACACAGCATCTTGCTGTCTGTAGACCATCAGAGTTAATATTTTTTAAACCTGGACTGGCCTATAAATACATTTTAAATGTGTATCCCTGGAGATTAAGATACTTTTCTATGTCTGTGTCATCTTTGCTTTGTGTCACTCACTTTGTTAAATAGGCAGAATGATAAGGCGAGGATGCAGTTTGTGGTATAATGTATGGGATAAAAGAGACATGAAAAGATGCTATAACTCACAAATGATTGCGGATTGTCTAATTGAGCGTCCTCTTATTTCTACCTAAGCTCCTGCTTCACAGCTGCACAGTTACTGTTCTCGTGGATGGCTTTGTAAGTGACAGGGAGTTCACCGAGTTTACAGCTGCATCCCTGTGACCGAGAGAGAGAGAAGTTTGTTTCCTTCTCGATTATAAAATCAGTTTATAAGCAAGTGGACTCCCTGACACTACTCCTTGCAACCACCAGAGGCAGTGTTGACCACATTTTCTCTTTTGCTCCCCTCCTCTTTGCCTTCACTGCTCAGGCTCCGGGGCTCTTCTCTGCTCCTGTAGCTCCTTGATGACTGCGAGTCTCAAACGACCCGCACGTAATTGTCATCTGATGGAGACAATCAAGGAGGCGGTGAGAGAAAATAGATAAAGTGAAGTAGGGACTGAAAGGGAGAGCGGCAGACAGAACAAGATAAATAAGCAGCGAGACGAACAAACAGAAAGGGGAAGTATTATTTTGAACCGCTGGAAGCTCGGCCAGAGTCAGCGACAAGTTACTAATGTGTCACCGAAAATGAAAACATTCCCCATTTGGGCCTTTTTAATCATCCAAAACCTTGCCATCCTTGTCTTTTATAATACATTTTGAATGGACCACATATAATGGCCTGTTGAGTTTTTCAATTATTTTCATTTGGACATATTTGACACATTTTACACAATCCCAGAGACAAACCAGTTGTGTTGCAGGGAAGAGTATGCATAAATGTGTGACAGTTAACAATGTCTCCATCATGCTTTCTCCTCTCTTCATGATAGCTGTGTGTGTGCACGTGTTGAATCTATGAGGAGGGTTTATATAGGAAAGCAATTAATATTATAGTCATCTGTGCGTCTGCAGCTGGATGACAGCAAAGTCGACGCGTGCGCTGCTTCTTTCGCTCATTTACTCCTTTTTTTCAGGCAGAAATGTGCTTATTCCAACAGGGTTCCATAAAAAGCAACAAGAAAGTAGCGCCAAAAGTAAAAAAAATATATCTGTAGGAACAAAGTGATTCTGTTTGTGTCAACATGGGCTGAGATCCCCTCGGAACAGCCGGGTAATAGCTAGCTGCAGCGAATAAAGCATCCGCTGAGTTACTTTCCCACACGGTGACAGCCAGAATCTGTACAACTAATGTCTTGTCACTTCCTCTCGCTCCCCGAGTACCTCTCTTAGCTGGTTTCTTTCTCTCTTTTTTTCTCATCAATCTCTTGCTCTTTCATCTTCGCTGCCTCCGCTCATCACGGGCCCCCTCCCGCTGTACCTGCAGCGACACGATTCCCTGAATGAGTCCATCGTGCACGGGCCCCCGATATCAGTGTGACCACACCCTTACCGTGTATCTCGGGGGCTGCGTGGAGGTGGGAGCAAGCCTTGATAAATAGGCCTCTGTCGTCTTGCTAGTGATAATAATGCCCAGGTCGAGCTTGACTGACACCGGGGATTTCAGCAGCGCCGAGCGGACACATATATCTCCCTTAGCGGCTCAGTGTGTGTGGACATAGTGGGTGTGCGCCCGTGTGAAGGACATGCATGGCATCCTTCCTTATCCTCTGCCGCCGAGGTCTAGATGTCTTGTTTACGCTGCGGCGAGGCACCGCCAAGCAATTTCAGATACTTACTTGCGCACACACTCCTGCAATAGATGAGTGCACACATACGCAGTATCTGATTCACTTCCACAGCGGCCGTTTTCCTGTCGTATCTGGAAAGCTAAAGCCTCCAGTCCACGCGTGGCGTGTGGCATGTGTATATCTCATGTAACCCTTGTTTTATGATTCACAGCCTTTCCCTCCTTTTTATCTACTTTGTGTTTGTGGTTTGTTTTTTTTGTCCAACAGGAGCTTGTGAAACACACCCACGATGGCACTGAGAAGACGAATTTGCGGACCGCCTTAGATGCAATGAAGGTACGTTTTCTTTTCATATGCTCTTATCCTTGGGTGCACTGAAGGTCCAGAACAGGGCCATTCACCCAAAACGTACAAAAACTAATCCTGAAAATGAAAGAGAAATAAGAGTTTTAAAAAGGTAAGTGCAGACAAAGCTACATGGGCTCTTTTGATGAGAAACGATGAGGCTTCAGTATAAGCCTGAACAGTAGGTGGATGAAATGAAGGACCAGATATCTGGTCCTTCAGTTCATCTGCTGTTTCCACTTTCAAAGTAAATGACAATCGGAAGCAGATTGGCTCAAGACTCAAGCACAGTACTGAATGCAGATGAAGAAATACATACCCCCAACGCTAGTTTCACAGAACAACCCATCAAGAGCTAATAAAATGTACAAAAAAACAGCTCATATCAGAAAATGTTATTTTGATTTTACTTCACATTGTACTCAAAATTCCTTCTGGTAAGAAACACAGTGCGTTCATGTTTGTTTAGGGTACCTGACATGATAATTGTGTTTTGAGAGCTGAAGGTGGTCGTTAGAAACATGAAGAAAACCATTTCAGAATATAATTGCCTAGTTTGTTCATGTGTTTTGGGGACTCTGGTTCCATTGTAAACAATAAACGCAGCTTTGTTTTGTGTGTTTTGTACCTCAGGGGTCACCATATAATATCTAAAAAAGTTACCATAAAAAGTTCCACTTCATTTCACTTGCTCAACTTTTTGTAACTGCAGATAAATAAAGAAGCCTTCAGTGAATGCAGTGTTTAGTCCTGATTTTGTAACCCTGAAAATCTGTTCAGTAAAGCTGAACGCTCAGCTTAATTAAAGTCAAGTTTATTTCATTGCACAAGATCTTTTTGGAACAGAGAGACATAAAACTGCACGTAAAAGAAACAAACTCCTCGGCACAGCTGGATACTCTGTACCGTATGTAAGTAAGTTAAAAGATGCTTCTTTGTTTTCCTTTGTGTGTGCATGTGTGTGTGTGCATGTGTGTGTGTGTGTAGGATTTGGCGCAGTATGTTAATGAAGTCAAGAGGGACAACGAGACATTGCGAGAAATAGATCAGTACCAGAAATCCATTGAAAATCTGGTAGGGTACAGCTTTCTTTGAGATAATGACTGACAGCTTTTCAGAATGTCTTTCCTCCAGATAACCTTCATTTTTCTCGCCTGCAGAATCAGCGTCTGAGTAACTACGGGAGACCCAAAGTTGACGGGGAAGTACGGGTGGCCTCGGTGGACAAACGAGCCAAGCAGGACAGGTGAGATGCCGCGAATGGCTGGATGACTGCAGTCGAAATGGAATCAGGTGTTACGCTTGTTGTTTCAGACTAAACCTGTGAGATTTGTGCAAACTGAAGCCAGTGAAGTATTATTACTCAGTTAATACAAAGCACATGCTATGAGCATTTAGCTTATGCTGTTGTTCTTTAGGAACTTAACAATAACATTGAACCAGTCATATAGATGAAACTGGGCTGGGCGTCTTTTTCCATTAGAGAGATTTTGTATTGTTAGCTACGCCTTGAAACTTAAATTTGCCTGTTAAAATAACAGCCAGCCTGAGAGTCTCTGCAAAGCCATTGCAGGAACTGCAGAAGCCGACTGCTTCCAAATGCACTACTTTACAAAAGTCTCGTGTCACCCCTCATTTCTTTATATTTTGCTTCCAAGGAGCCAGACTTTCTTTTGTCTTGAGTAATAGTTCTCCAGGCCTTGTCACTCAGTCCAGTCCTTGTACCTGAACATTTTCACAGGAATGTTTTTTTGCTTTATTTGTTAAACCCCTTAACACTGACCTGCGAACAATTCAAGCATAAAAAGGGCACTTCACCCAAGAGATGAACCAGCGTTGTGTCAACACAAAGCAGAAAGCCTAGCAAAGAACCAGTTTTAAAAACATGGATTTTTTCTGATTTCTTTAGTTGATACTGTGAATCAGTTGAGTCGGTCTGACAGACATGAAATAGTATTTCAGTGGCAACAAACTGACTCCCAAAGAGTTGTTAGCTAAAAAGGTGGCATACCTCAGCATGATGTGCAGCATGTCTTTAAAAATAGAGTGGTACCTGCACAAACTACTACCTACAGCACATGAACCGTATCTGAAAATCTTGCAAAAATCTAGAAAGTAAAGGCCTGACACCAGACCTGAAGGATATATCCGGTCCTTTGTCTCATCAGAAATGGTCTCAGTGAAAGGGTGGCTGTCAAGAAGCCATTCTTAAGGAGGAGAAACAGGGAGAAGAGGCTGAGATATGCCAGAATACACATATGTCTGTGAAGGTTCTCAGTCATCCAGGTCATCGTAGTCTAAGGAGCTTGGAAAGAAAAGCGTCTGGACTTCTTTAAGTTGCTTGAAGACGTTTCACCTCTCATCCGAGAAGCTTCTTCAGTTCTAATTCACCTGTTTTCACACCTTGGCTCATGTGATTAGGTAGAAGATCATCAAAGAGAGTTCAGTCTGTGTTGAAGAATAAAGGTGGTCATACCAAATATTGACCTTCAAGCTTGTTAGAATCATAAAAATCACTTTTTGCCTTAAATACTGAATTTGACATAACTCCTCGGTGTGAATAACATGAACTATTAAGTGAGATGTGCTTGAATTTACTGGAACATTTTTGGATTGCAGGCACATCTTCCTGTTTGACGCTGCGGTCATTGTTTGTAAGCGGCGAGGAGACAACTACGAGATGAAAGAAGTGATCGACTTGCACCTCTTCAAAGTCACCAACAATCCCACGTCGGACAAAGAGAACCGAAAGGTCTGTGCACACACAGACACGAACAGCCAATAATATGTCTAAGATGCATTTACTGAATTTGTATCATTATTAAATAGTAAACAATCGTGCTTTAGCTTTAGCTTCTTACTTTAGCTTTGCTGTTGGTGTGAGTGTGTTCACACACACACACACTGGCATGTCACGTGTAGCTGACAGCATACAGGTGTAGTGAATCGATATTAATCGAGTTGATGACAAACGTTATGTTACTGCAGGTGTAATAAAAGCTTCCCATGTGTTACACCAAACAAAACAAGAGAGAGAGAGGCCAATAGGGAAATCATTAGAGCTTTCAAATCTTGTCAACTTGCTTGACCACAGCGTGCGCTTAAATGAAAAACTACCGCAAACATATGAAGGAGAACCATTGGTATCGTAGGTGTGAAAATGCCTCCAAACCACAAACCCCTTAATGTTACCTCGCTATGTGAGCTCTCCCACTAACACATGGTGCATTGCTGCTTAGCAAACACAGAATACAGAACTGACGAATAGATCGGCCCCCTTGTGTCAGAGACTGTATCAAGCTTTGTGAGTCTGGACTGAACCAGTATCTGATCCAAATATTGAATTGGTAAATCACTAGCAATGAGCTGAACCTGGATCTATATGGGCATCTGCTGCAGGCGCAACACAGTCACAAAGTGCAGAAATTACAGCTCGTAAAGCAGTGTGGCTCTAATGATTTCAAGAAATCTGAATAAGAAAAGCTTTCACAGAGTGGAAAGCTGAAGGGCCCATAAAGAGCTGATGTGGGATCCTAGTCTAGCTGTCACAGGGCAAGAGGCAGGGTGCACACTGGACAGGTCACCACTCTGTCACAGGGCTAACGCAGAGAGCGAGGCAGCTGCATGCTCACATGCACAACCTTGCACTGTTTCCTGTTAAAAGGGTGTTTTTCCTTCCCACTGTCACCAAGTACCTGCTCACAGGGGGTCATCTGATTATTGTAGGTTCTTTACCTTACAAAATAAAGTGTCTTGAGGCAACTGTTGAACTAAATTGAATGAATAGTGTTGGATGAAGGCACAGAGCGAACGTGCAAACTTCACACAGAAAGGCTCCAGCCAGTGGATTCAAACCCAGGCCCTTCTTGGGCATCAGCCATACTTTTCTAAAATCTTTGAACAATAATAATAAAAGTATGTGGTTATAAATAGGGACAAGAGGTAAACGTGATTTTAAATGAGGTTTTTGCAGAGCCAAAATAACACCGGGCTGTTTTGTTGCAGACATTCGGATTTGTCATGTCTCAATAAAACACAGGTAACTGAGAATCTTTGTACGCATGACTCTATACTGCATAATGTTAATTAATACTATTAGATGTTAGGTGTACTTACGTTTGACAGGTGTTCAGTGTAAGAAAGAGCTGGCTGTTGAATGACCTCCAGCAGTGTTTAATGGTATTTGAGAAGCAGTTTAATATCAGGTCAGGGAACTGGGAAAGTGAACAAATACATAGAAGAACTGTGCATCACATCACATATACCAATCACTCAGGAGTAATACAGTAAACACAATGGTGCATCAATACTGAGAAGATGTGTTCAGATTTTATTATGTAAAGACATGAGGAATTTTATAATGTTGTAGAACATGGCCAGGCGCGGACCCCCCCACACTGCTCATGAATAAGTCTCTCAGGTGAATTCAGCTAGCATGTACCTGCCAAGGAACATGCTTTTCTACTTTCAGGAAAGATATTGGCATTTCTCAGTCCTTTTTTTTCTTTTTGTTTTATCTTTCTTTGGTTCCAAAAGAAGTAACTCTATTCCACTTTTGGCAAGGCCACAGTGGTGATGTTGTACCACAGACACGCGGAAACATTAGCCACAATTCAATCGAGCTGTCAAAAATGAACCTACGCTGGCATTTTATGTCTCTACCAGCCGCACAGGGTTTATTCCTCACAGCTGCACAAAAACAAGCGTGTTAAGCGCTTTAAAAACTGGTTGATTAGGCTGGAGACTGACTTGTGGAAGAAAATGTCAGTCAACTTCTTTGACCTGACACATCACAGCTGACAGAGAAGTATGATTGTGACTAAGTCCCGTTGAAGCCGCACTGATCCGCTTCATTAACTGAATAAGAAAATATGCCCTGAACATTTAGCTTTTAATTTTATGGCGTGTTATCATCTTTCAGAAAGCAATAACCCACTTTAAGCTGTGAGTTACAGTGATTTTATAACAGCTAAAAAGAGCTTTAGATGACATTTAATTTCACCCAGGGCTCCGTGCCATCGAGTCTGTCCTAGCTCGACTTCATTCTACATTGTGGCTTTTCTGCTGCTGTAATAGACGACGTGAAAAAGTAATAAAATAATAACAAAACTTGCTTATTATTGTGCTGTAAAACAAAACAGAACAAAACAACAATCTGATATAACAACCAGTCAGCTATAATGGAGGCAAGTCTTGCACTGTTGAGCCCATTATCGCCTCTTTACGACTGAGTCAGCAAAGCTCCGAAACCGCGTTGGACTCCTGACAAACCAATTAACAGCACTAGTTCTGCATAATGAGGCGCCATAACAATTTATCAGTTAAATGCGAGTTCACGAAATTGACTCAACTTGCTTCTTCACAGCTATTTTCTAACCACCTGTAACAGCAACCTCTCCGCCCCGGTGCTGCCGTCTGTGCCGCGAGTCCCTGAATGTGCTGCTTAAATAGGTTCTGTGCAAAAAATCTTTCCAGCTCGCGACATAAACAATGAAATAATCAGCTGCAAAGAATCTTTCTTAAATAATTTGGTGCACGCTTATTCCAGCACATGTTTTACATTGTCTTGTTCATTTGCAAGGATCACACTGACACAGTGTCGGACTACAACAGTCTGCCTCCTCCCAGATGGTGTTATCATTAAACCTCGCTTTGGGCCTGACTACACACAAACACACGGTGAATACTAAATGCCAAGTGGGGGAAATATTGCCAATCATAATGAGGAATGATATCTAAGGCGTTCCAAGAAACAGTGATTTGGGTAATAATGATGCTGTAAATAGCAGACATTAGGAAGCTTAGACCCATATGGGTTTATATGGTTATATTTTATGAAACTCTGCGTCATTCACCTCTGACTTGATGGATATAAAGCAGTTTGTTTGATTACATATTTATGTTTGAGATGATGGAGGTGACAGTGGTGTCTGAGGGAAGTGGCAATAAGAACCTCCATCAAACCAGCGGCATTTATGTGCAAGTCATCTGGAGGTAAAAGAGTCTTAAACTCCTTTAACTCATAAGCCAAATGCAAACAACAATAAGAAAACTTTTGCCAAATTACCGTCATTGTGTGGAAGCCAACTTCTCAATGCTATAGCCTATGGTTTTGTAGCAAATAATCAAAGCTCAAATAATTACATGCAGGGCGTCACAAACATTCACAACAACTGTCGCCTCAAGGTGCTTTATATTGTAAGGTAAAGACCATAGATAATACAGAGAAAACCCCAACAACTTGACCACCCCCTGTGAGCAAGTGCTGGGCGACAGTGGAAAGGAAAAACTCCCTTTTAACAGGAAGAAACCTCAAGCTAAACCAGGATCAGGGAGTGACCTGTTGGGGGTGGGAAGGACAAAAGATGATCAGGAGGGGGAGCTGGGGTTCAGGAGGCAGCACGGGTTGCCTCTTAACTAAAGGGTCGGTTATACGACTAACTGCATCGCTTCCAGTAGATCCAACACGTGTGAATCTTAGACAGAGCACATAAAAAGGCTCTGTGATTGGATTTGTAGCCACAATTTCTTGAGTGCTCAGCTAAAATCAAAAAGTGCTACATTAATACCAGACTAGTCTTTTAGGTCATTGTTTGAGGGCAAATTTGGCCCCAAATGCCATGTGTTTCAAATGAAAAATGTTAAAAAAAAAACATCCATATGATTACTGTCCCAAATGTTGACTTTATAAAGGTAGCAGCTAAAAAATTCCTTTACTTGTTATTGACAACTAGTACAGAGTTCAAATTAGGCTGGATTATATCTCAAAAAGGTAAATGCTAATGCTAATGCTAATGACGCTTAGCATCTTCTGAGTGTGTAAACAGCTAGTTGTAAGGAAAGATTACTGCTTTACTGTCAACATTACTGTTGGACAATATTCCCTCAATATTGTATCAAGATGTTTTTTAATGAAATTTGCAATAATGCAATTTTTGATAATACAGAAGGTTTTTGTAGTTGCTCCCTTTCTAGATGCTAAATTGTTGTGAGGCTGGGATGCAGCTCTCACTCTCAGACATGTTTGGGCTTGTCTCGTTGTATAAACATGTGAGTGGCTATATCATTAATATCACAGTGTTACATCTTTTTGTCACATAAAAATGCCCAAAACACTGTCAAATAATACAGTATATTGCTTTTCGCAAAAAAATTGCCTATTACATGTTTAATTATAAGTCAGTGTGTGGTAGCTGGCACTTTGCTAATTATCATAGGTGTTTCTGTCTTTAATGGAGTGTTTCCGGGAGTACGGGGGGAAAAAATAAAGAGTGAATTTTGAATATGTTTTATGAGTATCGAGTAGATCTACTCATGTATTAATGTAGCAATGACTTTTGAGTACTCATGGGTCTGAACTCCACCACCAGTTAGTCTCTAGCATTTTATAATCTTTCTGAAATACCACAGTTCACTCTCGACATTGATTCACATGACAAAGATATAAGCATGGGTCAAAATAATTGATATTTTGGCAAGATCCACAAAGAAATATTTGACATTATAAGCCTTGGTGTGTAATCCTTTTGAATGCCAAGCAAAAGCATAGGAACTGACAGAAAGACAGACAAGCACCTCCTGCTTCTCTTTACAAATTGGTAGCTAGATGATATCTTTGCTGAGTGCAAGTGTTGGTGTCCACTGGGAATGCTTCTGTAGAGCGCTGCTTTCCTTTTCTCTTTTCATTCAATAGAGAAGATGAGCCGCTGTGCTTCGCTGACAGCGCTGTGAGTTTGGCTTGTTTTTAGCTTTCAGAGCTGAGTGCTACAAGTTCAAAACCACAACTGCGAGTCATAAAAAGTGCATCTCTCGAGCATCTGTCTTGTAATGTTGTCTAAAAAAACCCCAGATGCCTGTGTTGACACAGAGGCTAATGGACTAATATTTAGCCTTTGAAGTGGATAATGGTAACAGATTACAGGCCCGTTCACTACTTGGGTCTGTGCATGCAGTCTGATGCCTAGCAGTTATATGGCACAGCCACCTCGCACTCATTTTCTCCTTCACGCTCTGCCTCGATGTTTTGTCTCTTTCTGTCATTTCTTCTGCCCTCCAACCCTTCAGCCTTTGTGTTTGCTCTCCCTGAGGCATCCCTCTTTCATTTTGCATCTCTTTGTCTCCATCTGTCTCCCTGCATCCTGTCTCATTCGGCTCTCTCCCGCTCTGTTCGTCTTTCTCCGAAACCCTCCGTTTTTTTATTTGGCATTGTTGCACCTTGTGAGTCAAGTGTTTTTCTTTTTCTCTGTTGCAGTGGTCCTACGGATTCTACCTCACTCATAACCAGGGCCAGAGCGGCTTTGAGTTCTTTTTCAAGACCAAAGACCTGAAAAAGAAGTGGTTGGAACAGTTCAGCATGGCCATGTGAGTGAGCAGCTGCGTCACAAGAATGTCAGGACATCAAAATGCCGAGCGCTTTTAGTCCTGTTATTCAAGTTAGGCCAGTTGATTTATGAGGAACTTGACACCGTGACACAAAGATGAACAGACGATAGCGTGCTTACACGAAACTTTATACTCAGAAAGCTTAACTTGGATGCGTTTCATTAAAACATCAGGTGTCAACCGCATCAACCACCCTTCACCCTGAAATGCATTCATATTTACCCAAAGTGACAAACTGGTTCCAAGAAAGTCAAACTAGTGCTTCACTTGTAGAGCCAAGAAGGAAGACGCAACCAGCTGTATTCTCTGACTCACAATTAGATAATATACTAGGAAGGGCAGTATTACATTATTACATGAAGAAGCAGACTTTATTTTCATATGGAGTCTTATCCCATTACACAGTACACACAGTTACTTTCATATTTCATTATAATCATTGAAATGCAGCCACACAAGCACACTAGCTGCTGCATACTTCAGTCTAAGTGAAGATGGTTAGGGAGGACTGTGAAGCCCACGTGAAACACGAGTTACAGTAATCTGTATGTAGACCTCTGCATCATTAGTGTAAAAAATGAACAATACATTTAAAATAATAAATTGCACAAAGTGTCAGATATAGCAAAAATTATTAAAACTTACAATTAAAACCCACATGTGCAAATTAATATTTAATTTAATTTAATTTTTTTAGTTTGTCAGAAGGTTAAATAAACAGTTGACATTTAAAAAACAAAGAATTTTATGACATTTACAGTATTTCGTGATTCAGACTTTAAAGTGGGTGTAATAAAATCTCCAATTGGCTGATTCAGATTTTTTGCAGCTTCTCAGATGTAAGATACAGGACTGGATGGATTCAGAGATGTTATGTTTAAAATTCAAATGCTGTTAAACAATAATACCAAGATTGTTAGTAGAAGATGTGATTGTGGGCCGACACAAGAATATCAGATGCAGAGGTGCCGAAGGTACAGATAGCTCTGTACTTAAGTAGAAGTACAGATGCTACTATTGGAAAATACTCCACTAAAATTTGAAGTACTGATTCAACTTCTTTACTCAAGTAAAAGTGAAAACTTTGAGTATTTTCTCTGCAATCAAAGTAAGAAAGTAAAAAGTAGCTCTTTCGAGGACATTTATACCTGATGTGTTTGTGCAAAGCTAACTGAACCTTGTGGTATATTGATGTAATAATAAATAATATTAGTAGATACATTTCAATTCTAATAAATGTACTCGGCTTGAATCAGTTAAGTAGAAAATGAACAGAGAAAAGGAAAGAAAGTCAAAAGTAGCTCTATTTTCTGTTGTGTACTTGCACGTCTTTATCTGTAAACAGCAAAATGAGTAAATCTGGTGATTCATACACAAACAGGATTGCCTGTCATGTGTTACTGTTTAGGCTCAAATCCATTTAATAATGACTCCCCTCAATGTCAAAGCAAAAGTAACGAGCCCGTTTTGAAAATGTAAGGAGTAGAAGTACAGTTATTTGCTTCAAAATGTAGCGAGTGAAAGTAAAAGTACAGACACCTGATAATTCTCCTGAAGTACAATAATGAAGTATTTGTACTTTGTTACTTCCCACCTCTGCTGAGATGGAGTAAAAGTTGAAATCTGTAATTATTCCAATTATTATTCCAATCTGTTATAAAAACTTTTTTTTAAATCACTGACGTTGTTTTGATTGTTTTGATCGTCAGAACAGCAAAATTAGGCGGTGCCACTGCTGTTAGGTAGATGGGAGACTGCATATAGGAGAGGAGCTGGTGAAGACAGGTAGTTATTGTTATATATTATGACGTGTCTGTCACATAAGTATGATGACAATCTACAGTGACAACTTCACACACTGACTCTTGGCCAAGAACCCCGTCTCAGCATACTTAAACACAAGCAGAACCCCTGCACAGTGATGTGCCTTTTTAGGGCCGATTTTCATTGTGTGAAAGAATAAAATAGAAAAATCCTGCAGAAATCTTCTTGGTATCACTTGACCTTTACTGTTTTATCTGACTTTTCCTTTTTTGTTGCATTTGGGACTCCAGTTGAACTCTGTTGGAGTCACTGCACGCTGACAAACGATGCTAAAAGGGCCTACCCAGTGCCTTACAATGTGAAACCTGCAGGTCCTGACCAAGCATGAGTGATAGTCCTGCACAATGATGCGATAATGCACAGTGTGACAGCACGGGGCTCAAACATGAAATAAAGCTGTGATTCTGTTAATCAGGATTATTGTAATTTTATTTGTCGAGACCAAGAGGTGCACCGGAATCCCTCTTTCAAAAAAAGGAGAAAGAAAAACACTGAGGGCAGAGGCTTAGACAGGGAAGTATTACAGTGCAGGACAGCGTTATATTTAGTGAAGTTTTGGGCACCAGCACTGATGAAATGAATATGACATCTACAGAGCCACAGAGGAGATTATACAGATGTTTTCACACACTAACTGGTTTTCCTCCAGCTGAGTAAACATGTGTAAATATATTACATAAATATACGAAGTATTTGATCAGTGTTAGTGGTGCTGACTTTATGTGAGTATTTATCTGCCAAATCAGACATGCGGCGCTACCTGCTGTGGTGACCCCTTGTGAATAAGTGAGCAGCTGAAAGTGGCTTTAAAGTGTAAAAGACCAACACCCCCTCAGAAGTGTGGAGGGCCACGAGTGCCAAAATGAATTAACTAAATACATAATTAAATATAATTAAATATGTAATTAATTAATTAATTAATTAATATAGTAATTAATAGTAGCAGAGATGACAAAAGTACAGACATTTTCCTCTGTAGGGCAGATGCCAACAACTTATGGACACCTCAGTCCTGTTGTTGTGCCAATAAAACAAACAAAGAAAAAATCCTGCCCATGTTAACTCCTGACTATGGCGCATGGTTTTGCCTCTTTTATCTCTTTTTATGCGACATGCTCTGGTGATTAATACACGAACAGGATTTCCTTTCATGTGTTACTAAATGCTCATAGTGACGTGAAATAATAACTCCCCTCAAACACGTCATGGCCATTGATCAAAGACCACTGATCAATGGCCATGACTACCATGTCAGTCACAGCATTGTAAGATGGTGAAAGACGTACCCTTAGGCCCCCTCCTCGATTCAGAGGTGGTCTTTCCCTTTTCACATAAATAGCCTCGTTGACTCCGTGCTCAAGCCAGTGTTCCTCCCTGTCCAGGATGTGTACATCCTTATCACTGAAAGAGTGTCCACTGGTCTGTAGGTGTAAATCACCTTTTGGGAATTACTTACCTGGATGACTGAGCATGCATCAAGACATTTAAATAATAATATATGTATTTATCTCTAATTAATTATTGACAGATTTTAACTTTTTTTGATTTTTTTTTTAAATTTACTTCATTTTGGCACTCTTGGCCCTTCATACAGAAGCAGTATCAGTTTTATTATCATTAAATAAACATTAGTGTCATTAAATCTGTGTATTACTACATTTTCCTATAGATCGATGGCATAGGGCAGCTGTTATTGTATTAGTTTGTTGTTACACTTCTCACTGTAGTGAGTTGACAACAGTCTGCTTCTCCTGCAGGCTCTGCCTCAATTAAAACATAAAAATAAAAAAAAAAGACAACAATAGGACAAAATCTGTGAAATAACATCTTCAAGAAGGTATCAGGAAGTGAGGATCAAAAACATGAAGTGTTGTGTGATGTGAAACTGAGGAAACTGGAGCTTTGGTTGATTAATATTTGGGGCTCAGCTAACGAGCTATGAGACTTGAGAGGCGTTGCCAAACAGCGACGCGCTCCCACGGCGATGCTTAATAGATGATCTGTGAACAGTTGTTTTCTTACTCGCTGCCTTTGTGTCCAAACCACCCAGAATTTACTGCTTGACTAAGATTTAGCAGCCACGAGAGGTGGTCACACCATGTATGTACCGAAGCAGGGAAATGAAAATTCAACATAAACCTTTGCTTGAACAGCACACAGTAAAGGCTCTATCCTTGAAGATAAATTCAAATGAAGTCACACTGTGAGTTTATAAGTCTTTAAAATCGAGGCTCAATTTCAAGTCAGGTTTACGCTGCACAATGTTGCACTGGATAGCTTTACAAGCTTCGAATCGAAGAAAAAATGAAGCTGTGCAAATGTTTTTACAATGACACAGTTACAAATTTCATCTATTTTAAATTCTGTATTTTTCAAGCAGACCTCCTTCTTCTGGTACACAATTTCTAGCCAGTGACAGTGTTGACCTCAAAGCTGATGTCTTGGTTGACCCGGGTACAGAAGAGAAGACAGCACTGAAATTCCCCTTTCTGCTATTTTATTCTGTCTCAGCCCTGTTTGTCCTGTTTTCCACTGAGCATGTTGTAGCCCATTACCTTAGTCTGAGATTAAGCACTTGTACATAAAAGCCTAAATTCTTATGTAAACACTTATGCCGAAAACAAAGAGATGACCTCTGGAAGATAAATATATGGACAAAGCTGAGACATGTCTTTCTTTTCTTGTTTCCTTTTTGCTTTCCTCCGTACTCCCACCCATGCAACCATGTCCCAAGGGGCCGAGAACACCTCCCGTGTTCACTCCTAGTAGACCTTGGCTGTGTGCTTGCAATTCTCTCCTTCCCACTTCAAAGAAGCGTGTCAGGGAAATGTTGCTGTAGCCATGGAGGAGTTTGTTGGCTGCAATTATAAGTGGGGGGAAAAAAATGTACTTTTTTGTTCTTTGAAATTGACATTTTCATCAAAGAGTGCAGTTGATTGGAAAGTGTAACAAATAGGGGAGCAAGCAAGAATTAATTTTCATTCACTAATTGACTGAAGAGTGGTCATTGTTTATTATAGTTTGATTTTTGCTAATCAGGTACATCCATAACTTGTAGGCTTAGAGTTAAACAAAAGTTTGTTGTGCAGTACTGTGCAAAAGTCTTGAGCTACCCCTCTTTTTTTAATTCCATGGAGTCGCACTTCCTTATTATTATTTTTTTAAATTGTGATTCCAGACACCTCAGCAAATAATCAATTTTAATGGTATCTTTAGCACTTTGTAACTAGCCTCCTACACGTAACTTGTTCCCATTTTTTTGTTGAATCTATGAAAAATGTCAAAGATTACACAGTTTGACAGGAATAAAACGGTAATTTTGTAACAACAAGCTAATTCCCAAAGAGCTATTAGCCAAAGACTTGCATCTCTGCATGGTGTGCAGTCTACCCTCAAATAAGTTGAGGAAATTAGACAAGTGGAGAACAAAAAATTAGAGATAGAGGTCTTCCACTTCAGTAGCAAACAGTATCTAAAGAAACAGATAAATAATGTTTAGAAATGTGGAAAAAAACTGAAGTAGGCTGCGCTATGCCAAATTTGATAAGAACATGACTGAAAATCTTTTGCAAAAGATCTTAATTTGAAACTTTTGGTTCAAACTATTGAATGTATGGAGGAGGTCAGTAGTGAGGTACAATAGTTAGTATCTAGAACAATCTGTAGCAATCTGGTGGACGCTCTGTCATGGGTTGAGGCTGTATTCAGGCAGTGGCGCTGGAGGTCTTTCAAAATTGATAGAATTGTGAACTCAGTATTTTCAGATTTTGATCCACCAATGCAATGACATCTGGAGAGCCTCTGATTGGCAGTGGCTCAGTTTTTCAGCATAGCAATGATCCCAAACACACTGCCAATACAGTAAAAACATACCAAGATAGAAAAAACCCACATAATTGGACACTATCAGTCTTTATACATGTTAGTCCTGACCCAGGATAACATTTATAAAGAAAACAGAATGGGTTTAGGATTGAGCCCTGGGGGACTCCACGTATGAAGGGGTGCAGATGAGGTTGTTAATATGAATTCTAAGTAAGTGCAATGTATGATGAAAACCAGTGATGCCATCTCATTTCTGTAATCTGTTAGTAAGAACGGAATGATCAGTGGTGTCAAAAGCTGCAGTTTAGCATTACATTAGTGCCCGATGTGCCTGGTTTATACGGAGTAAATTGAGATGTCTGTGAATCTAGTATTTATCGTGCATTGTATCTCTTTTAGATCCAACATTCGGCCAGAGAATGCGACCAACAACCACCATGAATTTCGTATGCACACCTTTGAAAGAATCACCTCCTGCAATTCTTGCCACATGCTGCTTAGGTAAGAGATTGCTATCCCACAAACACACACACACACACACACACACACACACACACACACACACACACACACACACACACACACACACACACACACACACACTGTACAAGCAGAACAAAATCTGCTTTGAGGCTATTGGCAGACATAAAGACTGAGGCGCTGTGGACCCTTTCTCTTCAGACAACTGTCAGGATTCCTTTGAAAGACCTCGGCTCTTCCTGTTCCTCTCCAGTGTACCCTAACAATCTATTCGTCACTTTGCCTTTGCCCCTCTTCTTCTCTGCACATGTGCCTTGGCTACACAAAGTTCCTTTTGAATTCACTGAATGGTATCGGCACCCAAAGGACCGCGGCTCATGGTCTCTCTCACAGTGGGAACGACTGAGTGGTCTCACCTTCCACAGACGGTGAAGAAAAATGTCTGTCACACTTCAGCACTTCTTCAAGGCAATGGATGGGGAACGGGGACAAGATTATTGCACTGTGAATATACAGAGCCATGCAGCAGATTCACCAACAGAATAATAAAAATGTCTGAAGTGTATCTTTTCTTTTTTAGGACGCTGGACTGCATCTTTTATCATACCTCAAGTTTTTCCTCTAATAGTTATTCTTCCTTTAGAGTATTGTGTTACGGCTATTGTTCCAGAGCTCTTCATTTATCTCTAGCTGTGTGTATGCATTTGAATGGAGTCACTGAGAAGTCACGTTTATCCTGTGACTGTAAGATTATTTTCTAAAACTTTAAAGTATTTCTTAAACAAGACTGGGATCTACTTTACCTTGTGTAGGGGAGAGTGTGGGTAATTGTAACACACCAAATTCCTCAAAGCAGAAAGAAGCCAGAGTGATTACACTTACTCTGCACATGCTCATTTGCATTCTGTGTCTGCCTGTGGAAGATACAGAGATTACTTTGGCAGAAATTCTCAGGGCCGAAACAAAAATTTGATGTAAGAAAGTCCATTTTTGGATCGACAGCATTTCTCTTCTGCTGCCTAATGTTTAGATGATTGTGAATTTAACCTTGCATCAATTTTAGCTGTAGGTTAACGTGAGAGCAGGGGAGCTATTGTAACACTCTGGCTTCTTTCTGCGACAGACAAAGCGTGTTTCTCGTGTTTTAATGCTTTACATCTCAGATGTCCCTGGACTGGGACCATGGTGTACCTGTTATTATTGTAGCTGCCACCATTTGTCAAAGGCTGTCACCTTTAGTGAAAAGGCCACCAAACACTAGTTTGATTCAAGTGGGTTTGGTGTTAAAAGAGTTGAAATAATGTTGGTGTTTGCTGAGTTGCTCTTATTTGCTCTCCAAATACAAAGTTGCTTTTAAATTTCTCTTTGGTCCAGTGATGAGGATAAGAAGGCTTATTGTATTTCAGAATTTAATTTAAATGTTACTCGCAGAGCTCAAGGTTGTTTATTTTTGTCTTACACTTGTCGCTGATGTTTCTTCAGGTAGAAGGAGGGCTTAAGAGGTTACATTCGCTTTCCTGCTTCGCTCTCCAAATAAGAAAATAAGTCTTTGCTTTCATCTCGTTATGTTTTTTAGAGTTGTCCTTCCATCCTATTCCCATTAACAGTGTGCAGCAGAAACACAGTGAAAAACGTTAGCTTGGACTCAAGCTTAAGGATAAGCACACTTGATTTTAATGATTAAAGGTCAAAGGTCAGGGTGGCCATGAAAATTCTACACCGTGTTTTAGGAACTTGTAAAAAGATAAAATGATACTTTACATCTGAAATGGTCACGAGGAGACCGTGATCATGGTTGGTTGAATGCTGAAGTATCATAGAGCTTAGTAGCTTCTTTGTAGCAACATTTACATTCAAGGCCTTGTCTACTGTTAATGCTTCGTGTCAGATCAACCATGTGACCACACACATAAGATCAGCGACTGTTTTATCTGTATATCTCGATGTCCCTCTGGTGGCTTAGCCATCTGCTGAGCAATTGGCATCCTCAATCCATGGACGCTTAAAATAGGTGAGGAAGAAGTTAGTAATTGTAACAAATTTGAAACAATCTGCCCTTCAACTAAACTGGCAACTCCCCCCCAATTGTTTATGAGGCATTTCACTCAACACCCCAAATGTCAGAAGTCATGTCGGTGCAAATGGAAGTAAGGTGATCGCCACAGTCCTCAGGGTTACACTATCAAGCTGCCATAAATGTCAAACTTCGCAGCACCCCTAAATGAAATGGAAAGGCAGCGCTGCAGCGTCAGTCAGTATAAATTATTTGCACAGGTCGCTTTGCAAACTATCCAAACTGACAGAAAAAAAGGCAGCGAACTTTTCCACATGACACTGAATCCTTTGACCGCCTGCAAACACGCAGCTCCGATTATTTTGTTCCTCCACAGGCATTACTGCCCCTGTTTGTGACTGCCATGTATTCTTATGATGAAGTTTCCTGTGTCTGCAGGGGCGTCTTTTACCAGGGCTACTGGTGCTCCAAGTGTGGTCTAGGTGCCCATAAAGAATGCCTGGGCCGTTTCGGCTGCTGTGGAAAAACAGGTAAGTTTATTGCACGACCCCAGATCGAGTCTGCAAAACTTCTGCACCACGCGACTCACAGCTGCACGTCACCGAGTGAAATGTTTTTAAGAGGAGACAGTAAATCTAATTGCACGAATAGCACTGCACCTTTATGGCCGCATTAACACGATGACAGATGACGCAAAGTGGCGCATAAAACCTGATGTACGAGTGTCTTGTGACAACTTATGGGCATGGGTGGGATTTGTTGCGGTGCGATTTGAAAAAAGAAAGCGCTGCACTGTGGCATTCTAAACAGGACGAGGGTTTGTTACTTTGCACGTGTCCTTGCGCCTCTGCACCAAGGTCATCCACGTATTCGATCGCTACTGCAGTCGCTCAGTCTGAAGCTCCCTCGCTTCCCTGGCTGGTTTTGACACTTCAGAGCACCTTAAAGGCAATGTCACTGTGTGTCATTGCACATATTCCCCAAACCTAATAGTAGTTTTACTGAGGAGTTTAAGAAACTCCTGACTTTGTTATTATGCCCCTGTTGTGTATCTGTCACTCAGCTCCCTGTGCAGAAGCGCTGACAGCTCTGAGAGACATGGAGGGAAAACTTCAGACATGTGGAATCAAACAAAGGCCTTCAGAAACCCAACATGTTGTCCTTTGCGTGCGTGAGTGAGTGCGTGCGTGTCTATGCGTGTGTGTTTGTCTCAAAGTGAGCGCGAAGGGGCGAAAAACTAAATTCACTTTGTTTAAGTTTCTTTTTTAGGTTTTGAGAGTGCACGAAAAAAACTCTGCACAATATTTTTACAAGCAACTTTTACAGCCTGCACACGCTGTACCGCTGAAACAGCCTGTTGCAATTGCATGAGGGTGTGTTTGTATTCCCCGTGGCAAGCTGCCAGCTCCTGTTGGACCTGGCATCTGTCACGGTGCTATCAGGTCGCAGAGGCAATAACGCCACTGCCAGGCCCACCTGGGCACACTGTGTACCTGAGTAGATTGGGGCGACACCAGTGGCTGGGATGTTGGCTTGAATTCGCCCTCTCATTACTCCACACAGTATTCAACCTCTGCCGGTGCAGGGAATATATGCAGGGCTGTGGACCAGCATTTCATAGCACACTTATATCAAAATATTGTAAGAGATGTGGAACTTTCCTTGCAGAGGATAACTATAAGAAGAAGTGGTCCACTTCTTCTTATAGTTATCCTATATATTAGCTAGCTCTTTATTCTATTTATTTATTTATTTATATCAATACACCAGAGGTTTTGCTACGTGTGCAAACACGCAATCACAGTGAACGAACGTTTTTGTGCTGCCTGAGTGTATCTGTCTGTGCGTGCAAGAGGGAGAGAGATAAGCCATTGTTTACTTGCATTTGTCCCTGTTATCAGCTCACTTGCTGTGATTTTGCATAACAGTTCATAGTTCACTTTAGGAACTGAGGGAGGCGTGCGTATGTGTAAACCCTGCTTGCATGTGCACAGGTGCTTTAGGTACAGAGCGTATATTTGTGGCTTTCTGCCAGTTAGCCCGCGTGCCTGTGGAGGTATGCAATAGTTCTGTTTGCACAGGTACCAAAGTGTGTTTGCGTGTGTGCACAGGCATGCGGTTGTGTGCATGCACAGAGGGGTGTAACCCATCCCAGAGGGAGCCAATGAAAGAAACTGGTGGAGCAAAACCCACAGGTCTACCCCCCCCACCCACCACACCCCACCTCCTTGCTCGCTCGCTCCTTCCCTCCCCACCCCCTGCTTCGTTACCTCCTTTATTCTGGCTGTCAGGTAGTGGCAGCGCAGCAAAACAAAGTGAGCCGCGGTCAGACATGAGCGTCCGCCTTCTCCACTAATGAGGGAGTGTTGCCTTGTACCGATGAGTGTGTGCAAGTGTTTGCGTGCACCCGCTAACCCGTCATTCACTATGCCTGTTCTCAAACTTCTTTCAGATTCCGGCTCCGTCAGAACTCAGGTGAGCTTCTGCTGTGTGTGTGTGTGTGTGTGTGTGTGTGTCTGCTGTTTGTCTCCTCTCCAAAGCTTTGCTGCACTTTGAAAACTGCTCTCTCCTGCAGCTATTTGCCAAGGAGACTCCAATTGACTTTAGCTGTTGCAGCCCTGCCTGATGCCAAACTAGAATGTTTGGGGAGATTTTTTTTCGAGTTGTGTGTGCTGCTTCTGAAACTGTTTTGCACTTTACTGCTACAATGCTTACAAGTAACCCCAAGCAGGAAATTAAACTGCTTGCAGCACTTTATTTTAGTAGCATGACAGCAACTGTGGCTGTGGCTGAAACTGTACTTTGTGGCTAAGAGTTTTGTGCACTTTTGAAGTTTGTTTATATCTGGTTCTGATTCAGAAATGCTCTTAAGCACAGGTTTAATTATTTCTGCAACTTTAAAACTTGCTCCTGGAGTCATGAGACATGAGCCTATGCCAGTCTAACCATATAAGGTCTGTATGTGGGGGTTAGCAGGCCAGATTCAATTCAACTTCACACTTAATGTGTAAAGTAGTAAGTTTTATAACTGATTTATTTTTGAAGCGTGTACAAAATGATGCAGGTTGCTTGTTTAGGTGCTTGAGATGGAGAAACTGGTGAACTTTGACCCAAAATGCATTTAATGAATACAAAAAAAATGTTGTTAGTCCGTCCCTGTAAGTCTATGTCTAACGATGTTTCTGTATGTTTACAGGGCAAAGATCGAGATCCAGGTAAGAAAATTTCACATCTCCCAACATCCCACTACCTCGCATATGCCATCTGTCCTTACTCAGGAGGGAAATTATTCATCTTAGACAGCTATTGAGATGCACTAATACTGTCTGTCAGCCTGCTGTATACTGTAGGCTGTATAGGCTGAACAAGCTTTGTTTACTAATGTTTCACTTGATGGGTGTCACAACAGTCAAGCTATTGTTGTCGATCTATGTCAACAGTATGATGAACATAAAAAGACCCTTTAAACGCAGACTTTTAGGACTTCACATAACAATCTTTTAAACTTTTGTACTGATGTGAAGATATTTTTCCAACAAACCTATTAATGGATTAGGTAAAAAAGTACAAGAGAAAACAAAAACAAGGAAAAACAAAAAATGCCTGAAAGACAAACACTAAAAATGACTTTGGCATTGTGAAAACAAAACCAAGAACAAAAACAAATGTGTTGCATTTTCATGTATTTGAAGGTACATGTGATAGTGACAAAACCAATGTCAGATACATTTTTGGCGAAAAGACACCAGATTGAAGAGAGGATAAAAGGAGAACAGACAACATAAACAGCATCAGTTGAAATTAAAAAAATGCTAGTCCACAGAATATCCAGATAACACTGTTTAATAGCATTTTCCCGATATTATTTTTAGCACCACACAAGTTATCGACTTTTACTAAGATCAACCATGTCACTTCAGTTCCTGTGAGTCCGGACACAACAACTTGTTTTCTCAATAAAGTGACACAGAGTCATCTGAGCACCAGAAATAACATATTCATCCCAGTCCACCACGTAACTGTGCAGAACGTAGCGGGAAGAGATGTTATTGACTCGTAAATGTTCTCTAACCAATCATTTTACAAAGTAGCTATGTATCAAAACAAGAGCTGAATAAGATACTTTGTAACCGTGAAATCATCACACCACACTAAAAATAAAAGATAACCCGTCGGGCTTCAAATAAAACGTCGTAAATGTGAACTATTAGACTACATGCTGGATTAAGATGAGTAAAGGCAGAAAGTGTTCTTGCATCTTCACCAATGTTTCCATCAACGTTTAAACCCAGCATCGTTTGTAGTTCCAGTGTAATTGTAGTTCTGACTGTCATTCACGTCTTGTTCCTTTAGCGTCCCGACCGAGTTGCCATATAAACAAAGACAAAAACAAAAACAACCACGTCGTGTCCTCGTGAGGTTATTTTTAGTCCGTGCTGGGCTTCCTCGTGATTGCGTTCTCCCCCGACTTTACATAACGAGATCACCCAGAAAATATTTCTTAATAATTAAGTGGTTCATCAGGATTGGCAGTAGGTTTGCGTGAAATGCCGCTGGCGTGGTGTCAGCTTGTGTTTTTCCTCGAAGTAGAGGCAACCTTGCTTAGTGAAAGAAGAAGGTGCGCCAGGCAGCTGTTAAGTGGTTTTGCCATTGCAGCTCAGTCTTAATCTATAACTAAAAGAGCCTTGTTAAACTGAAGAAGACCAAACCCAGAATGCATAACTTAGCTAGCAAAGTTACTCCTGCACCTACAGTAAATGTAGCCATTGCACATATGCCTGTCTCCCTCTTTTTGATTTCTGTCTCTCAATCTTTCTGCAAAAGAACATGACTAACAACTGCACCAAGGGGCTCTAATCTCTTATAAACCTGGCTTCAACACTCATTTTTCCACCCCTCCATCCATTATGCTGCAGAAAATCATTTCTGACTGAAGACGCATTAAAATCAATAGGCGTTTGATTGCCCCAGCCCTCGGCGTTTCATAATATTTCAATGCTCCTCTCTTTGTCTATTTTCAAAGGTGCACTAACACGCTGTCCTTGTGTGGATAGGAATGCAATTCATGCCCCCGAGACTCAATTCTCCATGGCCCTGTGTCTTTAGAAGTCCTATTCAGGCAAGATCGCACATGTCAGGCTGCCAGCCACAGTGCTACAGCACTGGAACAGATCCTGAAAGAGAAGCACAACAGATAGAGATGTACAGTATTAGCTTTCAATACAATGTTGTTGACTTCTCTGTTGTTTGCCTGTAGCCCTACGTCTTTCTTCGTGCTATCGCTTTATTATTAATTTATTTTTCTTTATCATAATACTCCAGAACATTATCACCTGATAAGGCAAAGAAAGAAATGCACAGTTCATTTGATTGTGTTGGAAATGATACGAACCTGGGATTTGTTTGCTTGGCATGGGCGGATGCTTCATAATGACAAATTATTCAGTCTCAGTGGATAATAGGATTAGTAAGGTATTGAAATCAAATAGTGCCTGCTGACAGCAAATCCAGCTTGATTGTGATGTACTTAACTTTTTAGTGCACGAGTAAACCTTACTGCTGTATATTGGAGTAAATATCTCACCCTGGACTGGTGCAGTTTAATCGAAGAAAAATGTGCGCTCTACATGATTGAATATAGTCGGGAAAATAAGGAAGTGGTTTTTTTGTTTTTTTTTGAGGGGTGTTACTGTATTAGTCACATCAAATTACTTTTCATCACATCTCATTAATGCGACAAGATGTGTCTGACTGGAATTCAGTGAAAACTAGCAGAAAACATCATTAAGCAGTAAACAGGGCTCATTGCTGCTTATCTTTTATCTGAGGGCTCGATAGCCTGCCATGCTCCATGGTGTACTGTTGCTTATCTGGAATATGATAATGAATAATGGGTCGAGATGATTTGCAAGGGCAGTGCACTGCTGACAAGAGCTGCATCTGTGTGTGTGTGTGTGTGTGTGTGTACAAATGTATACTCCTCTCATTACCACCTGTAATGGGGCCATGAATAGTTTAGTAGAACAAAGACTCACTCAGACTCTCAGACTTGAGGTCACGGCATTACTTTTGTTCAATTAATTTGTTTGTGTTACATAAAAGTTTCATAAAAATGATCTCACTTTAAAACAGTTGTACCTTGGTCTACAGGATTAATTATAGATCAGTCAGTATAATCAGTATTTTGTTTCCATGACGGCTAATATTTAGGTTTCCAGACTAATTTACCAGACATAGAAATGACCGTCGCTCCCTCTCAGGTTCCAACCACTAATCTGTAGACCTGTTTCTAATTCCTATAATATATCGAAAGACACGTTTGTTCATATTTTTCAGACAGTAGTTTCACTCATGCTGTCCATCTTGCAGGTCTGCCCAAGATGCTGGTAATCAGGAACTACTTTGGATCGCCAAGCCCCGCTTCAGGTCCAGCGCTCCACATCCAGACGGGTGACATCATTGAATTAATCTGCGCCGACATTCACAGCCCCTGGTGGCAGGTCAGAGGTCACGCTATCTCTTAGTCACTCCATAAAATGGACGCGCTGTGTTTAAATCTTCAATTTCCCCCCCCTACTGTCGCTCCATCGAACCTTTATCCCGTCTAATATTTCATAATGGTTTTAGAATAATATATGATAAGACACAGTTTGTAGCTACGTCCTGTTCATCTACTTCCTCATCGGTCAAATATATGTTTGTGGACATTTCATGAGTTATACCTGCGCTTTGCAAATTCCATTTCTTGCTCAGGCAAGCTGTTTGTGTGTGGAGAATTCTTGCTAACAAGCTTCATGGAAAAGTGAAATTCTAAGAAAGACGAAAACACCCACAAGCAATTATTCACACAACGCGGAACTTCTCATAAGGATGCGACACTCCCACACAGTTGTTTTAAGCAAGCAATTATTATTATGCGAAAGCAGCACATGCGATTTAAGCCTCGCAAGAGGAGGGAAGATAAACAGTTTCTTGAAAAGTCGCAGCAGCGCCGTGTAGCAGTCACTTACTCTGTCCACGTGAAGCCGAATAAAAGTCATCATAATAATTATACAAGATGTAAGATTTTTACCTGAGGCGCTCAAAAGGGCATCTTATTGATGCAAACTATTATTGTATTATAATCAGTTTGGAATCCAACAACTCTTACTGCGGTTCATACAAAACAGACAAAATAGATAAAGAATTCAATTAACTGTGTGTAAAAAGCCTTACTGGAGGCAGCTACGGCCTGGCAGCCAGTATGCATTCAATATCCATCACCTTTGTGGCAAACAGACCGTAATCATTTCTGTTCTGGGCTTGTGTGACAAATAGAATCGATCCCTGTAATTTCATTTCATTCAATAGCAACCATCTGTTTACTCTGTCAATGTTACCGGCTCTAAACATTATCAAACTCTTAGCAGCCATGCAGCAGAAAGCGCTGCTTTATGCAAGAGCTGATACAACGTCCTGAGGTGGCAGCGATGTGACAGGCGATGACCAGAGCATTGAAAAAAATAGACTTCGCTGCTAGTCTGCCTCCAAGGTGGACCGCCTCAGACACCTAATTAACACCTAGGACACCCCTAAAACATCAAACTCTGATTGGTGGGTGTGACAGTCAGGAGGCAGCTGATATACAGCTTAGTGGTGCTAAAGCTGTTGGCTTGGTTATTCTTCTGCATCTATATAAATATAATGCGTTCTTCTCCGTAAGAGAGCCGAATTCGTGCATTTATGCTTTACATAGGCAGGTGGATATGCAAAATATCAACTAATGCTTCAGGTACTATAATTATTATAAGCCTCTGTGTCGCACACAGTAAAGTGACAACGCCGCGTGCACTTTTTTTTTGTTTTCTGCACGCCTGCCTTTTTAGCACCGCCTCAGGAGAATGCCACCCTGCATTTCGCTGCACACACTGACTGAGCATGTGACAAATAAAACCTTTGACTCCTTCACGCTACAGTTAACCACATATTCACTGGGTTTATTGAAGAGACACATTAAAAAATCCCCGCACGATCATTTTACATACCAAAAATAATAATTTTTCATGAATGAACCTACTCGCCGTCGAGACAAAAACACGGCGTCACGACTGCGCTGTGTGAGGGAGACGGATGCACTCTGGCTTCCACAAAACTCGTGTTTATTTGGACTGCATCTCCCCACTGTTAGTAAATCAAGGCGCTGAGCTTTAAGAGTCTTCGCCATGGGAGGAATAAGGAAGTCATCCTGTTTTATTCCTCATGCCAGGAATTATTTAAACAATAGATAACTGCTGGTGTAAATTTGCACCGCTGCGTTGCAAGGCTAATTGTTCCTGAATTATAGAGATGCAGTCAGCCAGATGTATGTAACGCAATTATCTCTGTGTGGTTTCAGGGCAAAATCCTGTCAACGAAAGAGGTTGGCTTCTTTCCAAGCGATGCTGTGAAGCCTTGCCCCTGCGTAAGTAGCATTTCCTTCCAGTCCTCTTGTAGTTCTAACTCACATTTGGCTACATTTATTCACCAGGCGTGTGGAGATAATTGGGAATTACGCTTATTTTACCTGGCAAAAAGTAGAAAAACAACCCACAAGCTTCTATATTTAAAGCACGAGGAGTCCGGGTTGTTTTATGAGACACGAGCAGTTCACCACTTAATTTAAGCAAAGTACAAAATGATCTTTTAAGGAACAAGCAATGCTTCATGTTGTTCAGACTAATCCGGAGAAGGAAGGAAGGAAGGAAAAATTCCATGCATCTTCACCGACACGAGGGAACTATGAATTGTTTTGCTGGACTGTCATGTTCTGTTTGATAAAATGAAAATCAGACTCTGTCCCAGCTGCCTTAGGAACATGAGGCCTCCAGTAAATAACAAACTGTTATCACCTTATCTCACTGTTGTAAAGATAAGAAGTGCATTAAGCTGTGTTATTGAGGTTGCACAGTGGAAAAGCTTGTGTTTTATAGAGGAGCGATGCACTCGCTTTTAAACAGGCACCAAGATTTTATTGGAGTGGTTTGTCTGCGTTGTGTCTGATAAGTGTCAGCATCGTGAGAATAACAAAAACACGTGTTCGTGTTTTTTTTCAGGTCCCGAAGCCCGTCGATTATTCCTCTCAACCTTGGTAGGTTCACCAAACAGCCCTCCCACTTTGTGCTGTTTTCACCTTCTTTTATCCACATGTAGTCGGAGTTTTAGTCTTTTTTACAACTGGACCTGTTTGGTTGCTGTGCTGTAGGTTTGCAGGCCCTATGGAGAGGCTGCAGGCAGAGGCGGAGCTTATCAACAGAGTCAACAGCACCTACCTGGTGCGCCATCGCAGCAGAGAGTACACAGAGTACGCCATCAGCATTAAGTAAGTCTGCTACTTTGTGCCACTAATAAAAGTTGCTACCTCAGATGCAGATTCGTGACAGAGGACAGTCAAGACTTGATTCTTGGCCCTCAAATATCAAATATTAGATCAAAGCTTTACGAATCATTGTGGAAATTAATTTTATTTCCATTAATTTTAATACATTTTAATGTTGAGCTTGTGCAACAAATTACCTGTAATCAGAGTATGTAAAGTCAGCTGGGTATAAAACATTATTTGACTGTAGTGCCGAAACCTTGATTAATTGCTTGAATTTTACATCTTTGTATTAAATGTTGTCGCTTATGAAAGCAGCTTCTAAAAAAAGTATCCACAAAAGTAAAAAACAAATAATTCCTTCATATTTTTCTGTAATTTTTGAGTGGGGAGCTTTGTAGTATATAGATTTTATTGTCTCTGTTTTACATGGCAGTGTTTCTTGCCCCACTGTTGTTAGATTCCTCTGATGATGCCTTAAGCCAAACCACAGTATTGACCAATTGAACTCCCAGCTTTGCTCCATAAGTTGACAGATCGATTTATAGTCCTTTGTAAGGATGATGGGCTTTTCCTCTGAGGTTGAGTCTGTGGTTAACCACAGTGATATGTGTGAGATTTACCAAACCAGATGCCTATCATGGAGCAGCTTCTGGCTTAAGGCACATGTAATAGTATTCATTATGGTTTGACCTAAAACCCACAAAACAGCCTCAGTGGTTTATAATTAGAAGCATACAGCCATTTTAATCTTGGTAATGAGGAATTAACAAAGCCTTAGGGTGCTGGTGACCGTACTGATCTCTGTAACGTATCTCCGTGCTGTGAATAGAGTCCCGTCATGTCCTCCTGTGGAGCCTCTGAGCTGGAATGCTTTCCTTAACAAGGAGTAAGCATGCTTCTCAGCAAGCAGTGGACACTACTTTGGACTTAATTTGAGTTTTTTTCCCCTCAAAGAAAGGAGCGCTTTCATGTTCCTTTTACGCTGAAGTCTTAATTGCATGTATGCACACAGACACTGAGCTCTGAGTAGCACAGAAAATGAATAAGACTGTTCAAGGTCATTAAAACCTCCCCATGGAGAGAGGCAGGGTATAAAGAGACACGTGTGGCTATGTGGCAATGACCACTGGAAATTATTACTCTCAAATGAAAATGCCTTCTGCTGCATTTCCTGTTTGTCATAGCAGAGCTGGCACAGGATTGTTTTTGATGATTTTGTCCAAATCGCCATGAGGCCTCGGTTACGTTTGAATTAGGCTGTAGCATTGTACCCTCTTATATTCTCCAGAAATAACACACAGTTCTGCCCGCGGAGAAGAGGGTTGGGTTTTTATTTAGCTCTGTATATAAATCATAAACAAGTATTATATTGCTAAAATCTTAAAATCCATAACCACATAATTTCCTCAGGGATTAATAAAGTTTCCTGTTTCTGATTCTAAAATTTCTGAGCGCATTTTCAAACTGTTACAGGGTTATTTTTTTAACACTAACAGCTAGTACGATTGAAAATGTTTAGCTCTAGTGTGTCACTGTTTGATTTCATTTGATTTCAATTGAATTTTCATGGTTTGACAAAGACATTGAATTGTTATGTTGCTGAGACTAAGATGAAAAGCCCAATATTGTTGACGACTGCGCGCTACACATGTAGCTAAAGCTGAGCACGTTAGCCTAGCTTAGCACAGGCTAGCATAGGATGTGTACCAGTGCTGTGTCACACTTCAGTAAGTGCGCTAAATACAGCAAATCCACCATAAATAGTTACTACACAACTTCAAGTCTTTGGTGTTAGTGTAGCTTTAATAAAAGATGATACAGCAGGTTAATTATTAAGATTTGCTCTGTCTACGGTTTCATCAGTTTATAGAATAAAGTCACTCTTTAAGTTTTGCTGTTTCATCTGTGTTTGCACCAAAAAAGACAATTCTAAAAATACTGAAAGAATCGCATAACCTGAAACAACCGTCATCTGATTTCATGCATTTATGCACAAAAATGTTAAATGGAGTAAAAAATCCCTGATATTGTTGTCAAAGCACCTCTAAAAATGTTTTTTTTATTCCTGCAGCCTTAGACCCCTATCAGCCACCCTGTTAATGCAAACACAAACATGCAGCTTTCAGTTACACACATGCGCACACTCGCTCCTGACCACCCATCATTCACATGTCACAAAACTTTGGGATCCTATGCATTACTGCGACGGCCCGGCTCTCCACGGGGGCTAGATGCCGGCCACCGATCGATGGCGGTGATCAGAGAGGGAAATTACACTCATAACTTATTCAATGGCCCACAGGTACAACAACGATGTGAAGCACATAAAGATCCTGACCAAGGAGGGCTCCTTCTACATTGCAGAGAACAAAAAGTTCAGGAGCATAGTAGTGAGTATTTTTCAGTCTTTTATTTTTTTTTTTTAAACTTCCACCACTGCAGTTCATAAATAAATAATCCTGTTCACTTAATGAAGTGTCAAAAACCTGAATTTTATTTCAGCAATGTGCACAAAAATAGCTATGATTAGAGCCGTGTTTATACTGACCCGAGGGCTTCAGCCTTATAGAGTCCAGAGCATATTGGAAAGGTTTACCATTTATGTGCCAGTTACTGAGGTTTTCAATATAATATTAAGATACTGGTTGCAAAACCAAATTTAAAAGGATATGGTTAAAGGCAACTTTTATTTGCTATAACTGGGGGAAAATGAGAATCCTCTTAAGGACATAAATGTGTTGATATGATTTCAAAATACTTGGATGTGTGTTTGAATGTGTTCAGGAGCTGATTGAGTACTACAAACATCACTCCCTGAGAGAAGGCTTTAGGAGTCTAGACACCACGCTGCAGTTTCCTTACCGAGAAACGGAGAACGCTGCTATGCACCGCTTCAACCGATCCGGTGGCAACAGTGAGTATACCGAGAATGACCTAGAATGGAAATAATGCAATAAACTAAAACGCCACATTTTTTCAAATGAAAGCAGTGCGACTGGACCCCAATACATCCTTCATGTTAAAGGCCATCGCAGTCAGAGAGGAGCTAAAGTAAAAATATGATAGTTGTTTGCTTTTGTTTGTCCAGTGGAGACTCCCTCTCAATCGGAGCCTAGTGGCTCTCAGTGTTTTCATTAGCAGATTGTCTATGGATCTTTAATTTCCATGCATTTGAGGGACGACAACAATCATCATACTAAACACAGCAAATATGGCCATGAATGGTAAATACACTGATTCTTATAGAGCGCTTTTCTACTCTCCCGGAGTACTCAAAGCATTCTATACAACATGCCTCATTCAGCCATTCACACCCACTCATACAAGCACTTCTAAACTCAAGTGCAACCTAAACTACATTCACACACATTCATACTCCGATGAACGCATCGGAGGGCAACTCGGGGTTAGTATCTTGCCTAAGGATATTTGGCATGCAGCTTGGGGAAGCCAAGGATCGAACCACCAACCTTCCGATCAGTAGCTGATCTGCTCTACCACCTGAGCCACAGCCACCCAGAAGCAATGGTTGCCTAGTTTTTGCGTCAAAGCAGACTTTAACAGTTGGTTAACCAAAATAGTTAGCAATTAAGTAATTTCATGTGCAGCCATGACTTTTTAAGCCTGAGACATCTGACGGCAGTACATGCCGTCAGCTCACCAGCATCAGTGGACTCACACTGAAGCCAGTCATTCTTTTGATTGTTAAGTTTTTGTTTCATCCGGCAACACGCTGCTATTGCTGTTTCTGCCGATTTCCCGCCATCTCTGCTCTTGTTTTCTCTTCTATTTTCTCATCTGTCATCCTTCACAGCTCTGTTACACACTGCTTCAATTCACACAGGAGGATCTTTTAAGCCCTGAAAGAACTGGATGGCTCTTTAACAACTGTTATAAACAGCCCAGCCTCCTGACTTTAATTGTTTTTGACTCGGCTGTCAAACGGTGGTTGGCGAGTCTACTAAGCATGTCATTAGATTTGATAACAGTCTCTTGCCGATTGCTGAAGATCAAATCAATTTGAATGCCAGGGGAAAAGGGGGGAAACCAGTTAGAACTCTAAATAAGTTTGCACTATTAATCTGACTTAAGTTTAAATGGAATCTATTTCTCGTCACTTTTTAAATCTGTGTTATTTTGGATGATCTATTTAAGAAAATTTTTAATTCAGTACAATTCAGTTTTGATTATCTAGCACCAAATCACAGGTGTAAGGTCAAATATAACCTCAATATAAGAAAGCACTTGGCAATGGCGGGAAGGAAAAACTCCCTTTTAGCAGGAAGAAACGCGCAGCAGAACAAGGCTTATGGAGGGGCGGCCATCAGAGGGGAAAGATGGAGAGCACAGGGAAACAGGACAAAACAAAAACTACAGGAGAAAAATTTTATCACATGCTGGCGGTGATGAATAAACACTAGGGGAGTGAACAGAGGCGAGTGGAAAGGAGAGACTCGGCTTATCAAAGGAAGTCCTGCAGCAGTCTGAGCATCATAACTAAGAGAGGGTTCAGGGTCACCTGAGCCAGCCTTAACTATAAGCTTTATCAAAAAGGAAACTTTTAAGTCTAATCATAAAAGTAGAGAGTGTCTGTCTCTTGAATCCAAACTAGGAAGCTGAAGTCTCTGCCTCTACCTTTACTTTAAGAACTCTGGAAACTCTACAAACCACAAGTTAAGCCTGTAGTCTGAGAGCAAAGTGGTACTATGAGGTCATCAAGACATAAAATGTTGCAGAAGTTAAAACAGTGTCAGTATAGATGCTAATTTTAGTCCACGAAGGACTTCTGTAGCTGATTCTGTATATTTTTTTAAACAATTTGAACATGTAACGTGCGTTATATAATATGATATAATATTAGGACTTTTATTTTTATTATTTTTATTAATTTTTACCCTAATCTATTCGTTATTTTAAGAGTAAAAAAGATTTTTAAAAAATGCTGATAATAAGATAGCATTTCACATGGGAGTAATTGTATCGAATGTGGGATATTTCACATCATTTCACATGCCAGACAGCCGGAAACCTTTAAGCATCCTCACCGGTGACGATTTAAGCAGCAGGATTTCTTTTTCTACCCGTGTCATAATGAAAAAACGTGTGACATCTCAAGACAAAGCAGCTGTTGACAGCAACACTTCTGATAGGTTTGGGGCTGTACAAGAACACAGTGATGATTAAGATTATTTATGTATGCAGCCGCTGCTTTGATTTATAATGAATGAATAAAGGAGAATGCAGTATCCGATAACACGGTTTCTTCTTTGTAATTTAACAATTCGGTTCGACTCAGTTTTATTTATATAGAGCCAATTCACAGCAACAGCGCATTTATATTGTAAGGTAAAGGTCACACAACATTAGAAAGAAACCCCATCATATAGCCTCCTATGAGCAAGCACTTGGCAACAGTGGTAAGGAAAAACTCCCTTTAAACAGGAAGAAACTTCAAGCAGGCGTGGGGTTTGTAACTGTGAAGAAATGTGTTTTTAGACAAAGACAAACAAAAACAAACAAGCTTTTGTTGTGGGAAAAGCTGGCATGCATAAATCCCTTTATCTTTGACTAGAAATGGGAAAAATTCATTATCTGGGGTTTAAATCCACTCAGTTAACTGTTTGCAATCTTCAAACTGAAGTAGAGAGGGATCCTTGCCTTAAAAACCATAAATGTTTACCCCACGCAAGAAGAAACATAAATATTAAGCTCAACCCGCCAGGCAAAGCACCACTGCCCATTGACTGCTAAATGGAAAATCAACCAAGTGATCACAGTCAGTGGTAAAATGATGATTTCATTTGATGCCTGCATGCCGCTGCGTGCTTTGGAGAAGTCCCTGGCTTGCAGACGATCACGTTTCAAGCGGCAGAAATGTGAACAGATTGTACTGAGCTGTTTGCTTGTTCTAAAGCGGGGCCTGTTGTTCAAACTCAGCATCAAGACACAAGTTGAGACAGCTCCAATCCAAATTTGTTTTGGAGGGTTGTTGTGGTGTGCCCCTCTGTCTTGTAGGCAGCCTGCTCCCGGTGTGCAGACTTCATTTTTCTCGCTTTCACTTTTAAACGACTCGTGTTTTGATTTCTACTTTCCCAAAGCACTGCTGGAAATCTCCCAATTAACGTTTGTGCTTTGTTTTTGTCGACTGCTTCGTAGTTAGAGAAACTGATTGATTGATATTTCCTTTTTTGCTCATCGTTACAAAGGAAGAAATACTGGCGTTTAGTTAGCTGAAATGTATCCGTGGTGTGCAGGTTTCTAACTCTCGTCCTCATTTTGTGGGAAGCCGCAGCGTGTGTGTGTGTGTGTGTGTGTGTGTGTGTGTGTGTGAGTGCGCTGTCGGTCTTTCTCCCCTCTATTATTCACCCGGCTCACATTGTGCATTCCGGTGTGGTCCACAAATCAGATTGTGCAAAAATGAAGCATGTAAGATGCAGCTGGTGTTTCGGTGGCTGTTTGAAGTGGAGCGCGATCCCTCTTCATATTGCTCGTACCTAGACACCATTAGGGGTTGCTGAGCTGTCTCTCAGTGCGCTGATTAGTATTCATTTTAAAAACCACTAGAGCCCTGCTCCTCTTACAGCATATCAATAACCCAGGCCAGTTAACTTGCCAGCAGTATTGTTGGGAGCGGCACATTTTTCATAAAGTTTGGGCATTTATCAGTCATTGCGGGGATTAGATTTTCTATTCCCACTGGCTGAAATGTAGGCTCCTGTGCAGAGGTGGCTTTAGAAACCCGAATGAGGGGTAGACTGGGGGCACGCTTTTAAAAGAACGGCAGCGGATTTGAAAAATGAGCAGAAGACTTGAATTTAAAGTGCTCGTTCTGTTCTCGGAAATAATGAACTGTGCATTGGTCATAATTACTTACTGTATGACATACACTATATTGCCAAAAGCATTCACTCCCCCAACCAAATCACTGAATTCAGGTATTCCAGTCACCTCCATGGACACAGATGTATAAATTCAGGCATGCAGACTGCTTCTACAAACATTTGTGAAAGAGTGGGTCTCTCTCAGGAGCTCAGAGAATTCCAGGATGGCCAGTCGTAATATTTCATCACTACTAAATATTCCACAGTCAGCTGTTAGTGGTATTATAACAACTCAGCCGTGAAAGTGGTAGGCCATGTAACATCACAGAGCAGGGTGAGTGGATGCTGAGGCGCGTGGTGGACAGAGGTCACCAACGTTCTGCAGACCTCCAAATGTCATGAGGCCTTCAGATTAGCTCAAGAACAGTGCGTAGAGAGCTTCAGTGCAGAAGTGCTTTCTGGATGCATCAGAGAGCAACTTGGGGTGGTTGGTCTCTTACCCAAGGATATTTGGCATGCAGAAAAGGCAGCCAGGAATTGAACCACCAACCTTCCGATCAGTACACCTGCTCTAAATCCTGAGCTACAGCCACCCCGCTCATAAGAGTATGACACAGCTCCATTTAGGCGAGGTTTGGTTTTGGTTTGGTTGTTCTGGATGTTGTTGAATTGCAACACTGCACTCTGCATACTATATGTATGTGGAATACGTTTTCCATGATCCTTTCTTTTTTGGTTGTTTTGTTCACCACAGTTTAACTTTTCTGGACTAAAATAATCACTGGCATCTGTTTAAGTCGACTACATTTATTCTCTGCGGTCTGTTTCTGTACTTTAGCAACACAACGGAGCAAAAAAGAACCCTTTTCATTGTTAGCATTTTACCCTGACTGTTCTCATGCCAAACTTTCTCTGCTTCTTTAGTTACGTTCCAAAATAACCCACGAACACCAAGGTGCTAATACTGTCAGGGTTAGAGGTTCTATTTCCCACAGCAAGGCAGTGACACTGCCAACTCTCAGACGTTACTGGAACAGGATCAGTTTCTGTAGCTGCCTCCTCTGCCAATAGGAGACAGACTGGAAGACAGACGGAAATACAAATGCAGTGGTTCTCTGGTGGGTTGTTTTTCAAGCTGTACGCCGAGATAAAGGCACAGTTAGTCTTTGTAAAGAAGAATCTGCAACATTTTCAGGTTCAGAAACAGCCTGCACAAAAGCAATTAGAGCACCCTCGAAAAATCCTGTAATAGTGGAATGTGAAATAAGGAAACGGGGTACATTACCGTGTTTTTTGAGCATCTGCAAGTCGGGGAGAATATTACAGCTACGTCTCCAACTGTGCAAAAATCCCCCTTCGCGCTGTGATTGTGAGTAGACTGCATGTTCTTCTCAATTAAATGCAATAAAGCGAAGATGTCATCCCTCATTAGCGAGGCAGAAGTCCTTTTAGCAAAGTGGAACAAGATATGTCATCGCTTCGTGTCTCAACAACATTTTAGGAGCAGTGCACATTTTTAGGACCTTCAGTGTTTCCTTTAATTCAGCGATGGCAATTAGACAAAGACCCTCTTCTCGCTTTTGCACATTTATAACGGCCGTTTGATAGCTTGTTACTGTGTTTTCTATTCCATATCAAGTGACTGTAGAAGATTTTTGAACGTGAGAGGCTTTTAGAATTCAAAATTCTCACCTTTAGTCATCGACAAATTGCTGCAAGTTTTGATAAATGTTATGGTTTGATCTCATATTTGAGTTTGGGAGAAAAAAGATTAGAATTATAATTATAGTTCCAAAAACACAGTAAATACTTTTAGGGGCACAAATTAATTAACCACCGAACATCAGTGAAAGAGCTGCTTCCAGTGGCTGTGTAGATAAGTCTCACTGGCTCTCCCCCTGTGCCTGTCATCATTTATTTTTCATCAAACTGCGACTGTGTGTTTTTTTTTTTAAATACCTCTGAAAAAGAAAGATCAAATTTTTTTTACAAAACATGCTTTTTTTTCCTTCTCCTTTGCTTCTCTCTCCTTCCATCCCTACCCATTCCTGCCCTCCTCTACCCCGTCTTGCATCTCTCCACCCCCCTGCCTGGCCTGCACTGCCTCCGCCCTGCCATAGCCCCATTGCTCTGCGGCCTCTCTCTTCTAACTCCTGCCGGCTACAGCTTTGTACCTCCTTCCTCTGCTCCCTTCTGGTCAGGTACAGGTATTGGTTCTCTCTCTCTCTCCCTGTCTTTGCCTGTCACTTTAACACTGGGTCTCTTTCTCTCTTCACCTCGCCTGTTGATGGCTGCTCGGGAACGCTGGCTGTCCGTTTGCGTCACTGCATGAAAATCTGGGCCTTTTCCATCTTTCATGTAGCTTCTCATTGAACCGTCTCACCTCTTGTGTAGTTGTGCACACATACATGCCATTCTGTACAAATTGCATGTTTGTACGATGTGTGTCCACATTTTTGCATGTGCCTGCTTGTGTGTGTGTGTGTGTGAGGTGCACCTTTAAGAAAAAGAGTAGAGTGTGTAAGATGTTTTCCACAGTTGGTATGTGGCTGGGTTTTGTGTGTGCTTGTCCAGGTCTGTCTGTCAAAGTAAAGGTGGAAGTGTCCAAATACACAGAGCTCCTCTATATTAGATATTCTATCCCTACGGCCAGCTTGTAGAGGTCTGACATTCCATTTCCACATGTCAGCTTTGCCCAGTCGGACCACCGGTCAGCGTCTGAAAGGGAAGAGAGCCGGCAGGGTGGGATGGAGCTAGCTAGCCGGCTCCACATGTGTCTCTCACACCGCTGTCTTCTCAGCAGGAGACATGTAGTCTAACACAGACTGCTGTCAGAACCCTGCTAAAGCTAAAGCTATGACTCTAAAGCTATGCACATCTCTTACACTCAGAGTAGTGAGTTTGTACAAAGTCGCCAGAAGTCAAATTACCTGGCTGAAATTCCAGCTTGATGTACAAAATTGGCAGTTTTTTACATAAAATAGTTCCTTTTGTTCATACTAGATTCTAGCTAGTTTTATGAAGAACAGCTGGCTGAATTTGGCTGTGTAATTAAAACTTTTCCTTCATTATATTTGCTCTGTGGTTTTATTTTCTTGAATACTTTAGATGAAAGGATCAGAGATGCTGGAATTTTATTGACGCTGTGGGGGAGGGGCGGTGAAGGTCCTTTCTATCTTTGTGTGAAAGGAAGAAAAATAAAATTGGTGACCAAAAAGAAACCTGTAGGTGTCAAAGTTAGACGTGTGTAACTCCAGGCTTCTCCACCTCTCTGTCCGTATGAGCGTCTACATGTTGCAACCGATGTGTTTGAACTCGTCGTCAGCATAAACCGTGGATGAGCACATTCTCTCTTTTTCGTCCTGTTTTGCATCCCCCTCATTTTCTTTTCTCTTCCTGCAGTGTTTACCCCCAAAGTGATTGGTGTGGCAATAGCGCGGTACGACTTCAGCTCACGCGACACCCGGGAGCTCTCTCTGCAGGAGGGAGACGTGGTTAAGATCTACACCAAGTCGGGAGCTAATGGCTGGTGGAGGGGCGAGGTCAACGGCAGGGTGAGTGGAAACCTTAAGGTGCTCAATGGCAAATTGTGGGAGGGGGGGCTTGGTTTTGCTAACCCTTCCAGGATATCATCTTTTTCTAAAATTCCCAAAAATCCCCATGTTGGTGGGCAGCATGCCATTATGCTCCTTTAAAAACAATCAACCTTGATATAAAGTATGTATCTGTCAGTATTGTTTAATCAAGGCACAGAAGTTTGTATTAGCAGTCTTCACTCTGAAATGATTCTAGCTGCTAAATTCTTAAATCCAATTTTGGGTAGCAGTAAAAGCGGGCGTTTTGCAGAAGAAAAATTTGGCAGATATTTTTGTCTGTGGGTACCTGGAAGGGGCTGTTCAGACTCAGTCTATTTTTTCATTAGTCAGTTGTGTGCAGTATTTATGTTTCCACATATCCTGTTGGAAGGATTCATTTGCTGCTCTTACATCACTTAAATGCATACGTTTTCCCAATGCCAGGAGCGCTCTCTAATCAGGTGTTAAATTCTGAGCGAAAAGGCAGGAAATCTGTGCGTCGACTCCCACTCGTGGCTGGAGTTTAGGTCGGCGGCGAGCGGCGGACTGAGTGCGTGCTTGTGTGTAAATAATGTGTTTGTGCTGCGAGTGTGAAGTGAACAGCTGCAGTAAATGGAGCTTTTCACTTTTACTAAGCCTGATGTGTGCACTGATGCCACTCTTAAAAAAACTAAGGAGGGGGAGAAGAGTCTGTGAAGTGCTGCTAGTGTCTCTTTAGGGCAAGCAGCCAGTAAAAACAGTTGGTATTACTTTTGTTGGCTCTTTCTATTTAAAATTCCAATATATCAGTACAATAATATCACATCATTAAAGCAATACAACAGTTTTTGTTAATTTTACCAAGTTGCTATTGGCCAATCAGTATCTGCATGTATCTTGTCTGGTATGTGCTGATTTAAACAATTTTTCTGAGCATAATGCAGATAAATATGCTATAAAGTTTCTTTAAAGTCAGTTACCCCATTATTTTTTCCCTTTGCCACTGACCTACTGTAGACAGATATGTAAAATGATCAGTTGATTATGTGTGGTTTTATGACATGTCATGGGCGTTGACTCACAGTTTAACTACACTTCTCAAAAAATGAAGGAAACCATCACAATAGCACTAAAACAGGAGGATGTAAACACAGACCACCAGACCTGTGGCGTTTAAAGACGAGGATGACCGTGACAGAAACACTTGATCAGCTCAGTATAACACAAGGCCAAGTGAACACAGCTGCACTGGAGAGGAAACGCCCAAAAAAGGGAATGGTTTTGGAAGTGGTGACGACAAACCGGGGCTTTGTCCTTATCCCTTCTGACTGTTTTTCCCTAGTTTTGCTTTTTGTTAGATTCGTAGCCGCTGACGGCGTTTGATGGTACTTGCAAACCATTCAGGTTGTACTGGTAGTCCAGCTCCTCCAAGATGGCGCATCTATATGTGCTTTTGTTAAAAATGTTTGCTGTGCTTTCCAGCACACACTCATCAGCATGGAGGAGATACCAGGAGGTGAGCTTTAAATGAGGAGAGCTGGACAGGGCAGTAGAAAGACATCAAAGCAGCAGCAACAGCTCTTTACTGGGTCCTGGTTACATCTGCAAAGTGTCTGAAGTAGCAACAGCTGAAGCAGACTGAGAAAATGATGACTGATGGCGACATTCGACCCCTGTCTGGTTACTAATCTCAGTCTCTTTTCCCCCCTCAGGTGGGCTGGTTTCCATCCACATACGTTGAAGAGTGCGAGGAGTGAAAGGGCCCGCGTGAGGGAAAAAAGAGGAAGATAAAAGAAGAAGGGCAGCGGTGGAGTAAGCAAACCGATCTCATGGCAGTGACTGAGTGAGCTTTTGCACCCCCGTCTGCTCCCGCGTTACTTTTCAGAGTGAAGCAGACGGCTTCGCTCACCTCCACGGTGCCCTGTTGCCTAAAACCATCCCGGAAGCCTTTGGGAGAGGAAAGGACTATAGTACGCTGCAGATGCAGAGATGCACAGTCATTTCTGCTTGACTCTGTGTGGCTAAGCGACTCCACCGACTAGCAGCTTGCCTGTCAGCAGGGCACAGGTCTTCGCCAGACACCCCCAACCCACCCCCTCGCCCTCCTCCTCTCCCCCTCACTTCATCCGTCCATCCATAATTCATCCTCCACTTCCTTCCTCCCTGCCCTAGCCAGCCGCAGCGCCACAACTCCCACCTGTTTCCGCTTGCCAAGTCGGTCGTTGCCTGAACTGTCAGCAGCAGATACTCAAACGCCGCTCTTCCATTCATCCGCTCATCCATTCATCCATCTACACCCCCCCCCCCCCTTATCGCTCTGTGTGGGAATAGAGTCATCTGAGAGTTGGGAGACACTTCAGTTTTCCTTTTTTCCCCCTTTCATCCTCATGTCTGAAGGGATTTCAGTCAGTTTTGACCTTGCCTGCCTGTTTTTTTCCACTAATGCAGGTGGATATTGATGACTTGATGACCCAGATTCATACACACACACACACACGCACGCGCCACCCACCTCTCCTCTCCCTTCAGATTATTATCGCCGCACACTTGCACACGCACTCTTCCAGGAGATGTAAGAGAGGGATGGTGTCGGATAGCATCGCTGCACAGTGCCAGCAATTGATCGCTGTTGTTCCTATTTTCCTTCCACCTCCTACATTCTTTATCTCCAGACCAGCCTCTCATGTTTTTTAGTTGTCTTGGCCGTTAGCGATCCCCACGCTCTTATCGGTGGCAGCTCTGTCAACAAGAGCCCATCCGCCAAGGGTTTATCTTATTGGAGGCATTAGCGGCTCGTCGGGGGTGGTGGTGGCGGTGGAAGGGGGAGGGGACAAACCACGCTACCTGGAAGCCACCTGCTACCTTAGCACTGAACGGCAGAAAAGAAAAGCACATACACAGCCCCAGCCTTGTTCTTCTCCAGTTTATCGTCTCATCGTTTCTTAGCATGTTTTGAGCTGTTGTTCCAGTTTCATCGTGTGCAGGTTTGATAAACACGGCTGATTACGTTCCAGAGGCTGCACAGGAGAGGCTATACTAACACCAACACCTGTCTCACAGAAATGGACTAGAAAAAAAAAAAATATATATATTTTAAGTAGTCTAGAAGGACTAACGTCATCTTTTAGAAACCTTTCTGTCACGCTTATATCTGCCTTCCCCCACCGCCCTCACCCCGGTTGTGCACAATGCTTCCTTAGTAAGAGTAAAAGCGGATTTTCCCACATTTGAAGGAATAAAAACCTTCGCTTTTAATGTTAACATCAACGGCAGAAAGGAGAAAGGTGCCAGAGGACACAGATCCAACATAGTGACATGGAGGACTCCTCAGTAGCTGGCTTTGTGTAGCTTTGTTTAGCAATGAAATATTTGTTGGCTGTAACCTCAAATCACGTCTTTTTTCTATTTTTCAATGTGTACATACTGAAACTTTTATTTAATCGATGGTTGGTGATGTCTTTCCTCACAGTCGCCCTGTCATAGAGCAGTCCACATCGCATGTATTATGTAAGGATGGTCAAAACACTACTTTGAACTAGTCCTTTAATGTCTAGTAAGTTGTTGTTTGTCTGCATTTCTTCATTTTTCCTTCTTTTCTTTTTTAACCATGCAGTTCAGCTAAAATATGATCGCATTTGTCATTGGAGCACACTGCAGGGAAGCTTAAGGAGCAGCTTAAGTGGAAACTATGGTGAAATTCTCTTGTAGACGTTGAGTTTTCAGAGTTTGTATTGATTTGACGAGATGAAAGAAACCATCGCTCTTCAGCTAACTCGAGAATCAGCCCGCAGGGCAATCCTTCCAGTCAGAGCTAGCCCTTCCACTGTCACGTCTGCACTGCGGTGATGCCACTGAGTATCACACTTTCTGAATTTAAGTAACGATTTATTATGAAGCAAGGCATTTATATACGCTTAATGGAGCCATTATAGTTGAAAGTCATTAATAACTCCTTGTCAGCGCCGTCTCTCCACGCCTTTTATGATATGTAGGAGAAATGTGTTTTATATGCAGACGTTTTCTTAAAGAACTAGACCGAAGGATCGCGTTGTCATATGTTTGTGCCGTCTCCCTGCCTACCCGACACACTTTCCTCTGCTCATCAACAGTGTCATTAAGTGACCACTAGATGGAAGCATTTTAAACACAGCCTAGCAGCCACTTCTCACTCTGCAAAAGTTTGGGCATGACATCATCTGATTAGGAGGTGAACGATATTAAAGGAAACAGCTGGCAGCAGGCTCAGACGTGCTGCTGCGAGCGTGAGAAACAGAGGAAGCTCTGAAAGACAAGCCCAGAGTATCAAAGTACAAAAGGAGGGTTGTTTAAACTGCTCCTTGGGCAGATATCACCATGACTTTTATTTTTTATTTTTTTGACGTGTATTGATCATTTCTGATGTTCGAGAAACTTCTCGTCAAGTAAGAGCCTTCAGGACCTCCTGCTCTCCAGCACGACTGCTGTCTCCGAACAGTCAAACATGAGATTTGAGAGTGAGAGAGAGTTGTGCTGCAGAAGGAGCACACCTCTCTCTCGTCTGGGGAGAACTGGAGAGCTGGAGTGGGCTCCTCTAATCGCAGACTCTGGTAATCCACTCCTGCTCTCCCTCCTCCACCCAGATGAACTCTGACAGCGGGGCCATTTACAGCTGCAGGCTTTCCTCTCGTCCAAGTGTGCCTCCAGATTTTTTCTTTTCTTTTTTTTGTGGGCAGGAGGGACGTGAGGAAGGCTCAAGGGTATCTGTGATCTAATCATTACACCATCTCCTCACCTCAGCGACCCTGCTGCATCCATCTCTCTGTCGGCTCCCCTCTCTCTTGCTCTATCTCACCGTGTCACTCCCCTCCTCTCTCTCCCACTCGCTCTTTACTGCTCTCTTTCCCCATCTATCTTTCATCCAATCTCCGTCTCCTCTGTTTCTCTCTGTATTCCGTCCCTCAACCCGACGCTCTGTAGGCCGTGACCGCCGCTGTGTGTTGGTGGGAGGAGAATCGGAGATTCTGTATTACCGGGCGAGGAGGCAGAGAGGCTCAATTGGAAAACAAGCCCAGCAAAATGAGGACTAGTTTAATTTTACCACAAATTAATAGGCCGGGAGAAATGATGCCAGTTAGAGAATGAATTAGAATTTACTCTCGCTATTGTGATCCCCTTGGTGTATGCACAGATTATTTCCGTATGCACAGGCACATCCCACGTGGGAAAATCATTTTGACTGAATTCAGGGCTGTGTTGTTGTATTAACCTGAAACACAACTCAAATATGAAGAAAACATGGATTTTTTTTTCTTCCTTCTGTTTTTTTTTTTAGTCAGTACTTCCTGTGGACTAAAGTTTGCATTGTCTTTGTTCATGCTTTTGTTATTTCAATGAAGCCAAAGATGTATGCTGTACTTACTGTTATGTCTCATAACCACGGTACCCAACCGCTGTGGCCTAACTCTAAAACTGTGCAATCCTGAGTGTGTAGCATATCCCTGTATTGTTGCTGTACTATACTGTAAATGATGTACATAGCACATAATAAAGATATACAGTACACAGCTTCTTCTGATGCACTTGTATTTCATGTCTTTTTTTAATAGATTTTTCTTAATTTTGAGAGATTGTAGTTTGAGTGTCAAGCCCTGGAGCTGAAACAACACAAATGCCAAAAATGTCAGTTCCTCAAATGTCCACATGAGGCTGACTCCAAACGTGAGTCAAATCCAATTGATCCCCACCGTTAAAATGCACATTTTTACAGCACAAATAAAGATGTTTAAAGTCTGATTAAAAATATATTTTTATATCTATTGCATATTTACACCATGACAGCTTTATAGGGGTTGAATTTTTATATATGTCACTCTATATTTAATTTGAATTAAAGTATGCATTATGTGAGGCGTGGTTTCTTTGTATGACAGGTGGATGTCAATCCGGTTGTTCAGTCTGACGTCACTAGCCGTGTCTGGGTCTAAAGTCTGCTGAAGGTCCATATATCAAACGATCAGTATGGCATTACTGAGAGTTGAAAAACTGTCTAAAGTCTTTCATCTTTAATAAAATGATCAGCGTTCTGCTCTACCAGGTGTAACAATTGAGTTTAACATCCAGGCATCCATGAAAACGGAATTTATGACATTTAACGGAGTTAGAAGTTAGCAGGGAGTTAGCTCGCTAGCTTCTATCTAAATACAATATAGCATGTCCTGACTGCAGGGTTTTGGAAACAAATTAAAACGTACAGCTCTGTTATCACTTCCAACATAACTGAAGACAGGAAACTAAACATCAGTGACGTTTGTAGGGTTACTGAAGTTGGGCTAGCTGGTATATAATGATGTGCTACCGCTAGCGACACAGCTATGTTAGCATAATATAAACAAGCTAACTTTTTTTCCACTTGATAAAAGTTAACGTGAGTGTTCTCGGTGGTCAGGAACAAATGTAATCACATGGCAGGATGCTGTAAAAGGACCAAACTTCAGTCAGGAGAACAACTGAGATAATCCATCCACAATACGAGGTTAGTCATTCATATACTGCTGCATGGGCTGGGCTGTAGTTACATCCTAAGGTTTTAAAAACTGAGCTTAAATAAATGATTAGCGGTGATAAAAGCCGAGGGAGGTGAACAGTGATCACTGACTGTTTTAGGAGCTTTTTGGGATTAAATAGAAGAAAATACAAAACATTAAACATGTTAACAACACAAAAGCCATATTAAACGCAGACTACTTTATACCCGGAAGTAGGATTCGTCGCGTCATCACTGAACAACCGGATGCTGCTACCTCTTGATCATGCTTTTTATTTTGTGCATTTTCCCAACTGTAGGACTGATAAACACTATTTTAGCTTAGCTTAGGTTAGCTAAACGTATGTATATTGACGTCAGTAAATTTGTGTTTACAGTACTTTAGGATATAGTTAGCTCTACAGACTGGGAGTGAGTATGAACATTATAACCTGTTTTGAAGTGGTAGGTCGTTTAAAATGCAGTCTAACAAGTGCAACCAAACATCAGGTGTTTCTGTGCAGCTTTGATCGCAGTCCGTCTGCTAGCTACAAATGTCGTGCAGTGTGTATTTTTTAGAGTGGGGAAAAGTACATATGTGACAAGTTCAGAGATGAAAGACGTGAAAAATGGCAGGAGAGGTTATTATTGTTTTTAAAGGTTATTTTTAAAAGTAGGGACTGAATAGCAAGTGACATTTGATAAAATGGAAATCCAAAGCTACATGTAACATACTAATCCACGCTGGAATTTTTGTAATCAGATGGTGGGTCTGTACATGAAGCATTGCTAAAATCAT